GTGCGTATATGTTTGAGGGTATGGGATTCATGTGTGTATACGTGTGAGGGTATAGGGCTCCTGTGTGTATATGTGTGAGGGTATGGGGTTCAGGTGTGTATATGTGTGAGGGTATGGGGTTCATGTGTGTATACGTGTGAGGGTATGGGGTTCATGTGCGTATACGTGTGAGGGTATGGGGTTCACGTGTGTATATGTGAGGGTATGGGGTTCATGTGTGTGTGTGAGGGTATGGGGTTCATGTGTGCATACGTGTGAGGTATGGGGTTCATGTGTGTATATGTGTGAGGGTATGGGGTTCATGTGTATACGTGTGAGGGTATGGGGTTCATGTGCGTATACGTGTGAGGGTCTGGGGTTCATGTGTGCATACGTGTGAGGGTATGGGTTCACGTGCATATACGTGTGAGGGTATGGGGTTCAGGTGTGTATACGTGGGAGGGTATGGGGTTCATGTGTGCATACGTGTGAGGGTCTGGGGTTCATGTGTGCATACGTGTGAGGGTATGGGGTTCATGTGTGCATACGTGTGAGGGTCTGGGGTTCATGTGTGTATATGTGAGGGTCTGGGGTTCATGTGTGCATATGTGTGAGGGTATGGGCTTCAGGTGTGCATATGTGTGAAGGTATGGGGTTCACGTGTGCGTGGGTGAGGTTATGGGGTTCATGTGTGCATATGTGTGAGGGTATGGGGTTCATGTGTGTGTGTGAGGGTCTGGGGTTCATTGTGCATATGTGTGAGGTTATGGGGTTCATGTGTGCATATGTGTGAGGGTATGGGGTTCATGTGTGTATGTGTTTGAGGGTCTGGGGTTCATGTGTGTATATGTGTGAGGGTATGGGGTTCATGTGTGCATATGTGTGAGGGTATGGGGTTCATGTGTGTATACGTGTGAGGGTATGGGGTTCAGGTGTGTATGTGTGTGAGGGTATGGGGTTCAGGTGTGCATATGTGTGAGGGTATGGGGTTCATGTGTGCATACGTGTGAGGGTATGGGGTTCATGTGTGTATACGTGTGAGGGTATGGGGTTCATGTGTGCATATGTGTGAGGGTATGGGCTTCAGGTGTGTATGTGTGGGAGGGTATGGGGTTCATGTATGCATATGTGTGAGGGTCTGGGGTTCATGTGCGTATACGTGTGAAGGTATGGGGTTCATGTGTGCATACGTGTGAGGGTATGGGGTTCATGTGTGCATATGTGTGAGGGTCTGGGGTTCATGTGCGTATACGTGTGAGGGTATGGGGTTCATGTGTGTATACGTGTGAGGGTATGGGGTTCAGGTGCGTATACGTGTGAGGGTATGGGGTTCAGGTGCGTATACGTGTGAGGGTATGGGGTTCAGGTGCGTATACGTCTGAGGGTATGGGGTTCATGTGTGCTTATGTGTTGGGTATGGGGTTCATGTGTGCATACGTGTGAGGGTATGGGGTTCAGGTGTGTATACGTGTGATGTTATGGGGTTCATGTGTGCATACGTGTGAGGGTATCGGGTTCAGGTGTGTATACGTGTGATGTTATGGGGTTCATGTGTGTATGTGTGTGAGGGTATGGGGTTCAGGTGTGTATACGTGTGAGGGTATGGGGTTCAGGTGTGCATATGTGTGAGGTGTGGGGTTCATGTGCGTATACGTGTGAGGGTATGGGGTTCAGGTGTGTATATGTGTGAGGGTATGGGGTTCATGTGTGCATACGTGTGAGGGTATGGGGTTCATGTGTGCATACGTGTGAGGGTATGGGGTTCAGGTGTGCATACGTGTGAGGGTATGGGGTTCATGTGTGCATATGTGTGAGGTGTGGGGTTCATGTGTGCATACGTGTGAGGGTATGGGGTTCATGTGTGCATACGTGTGAGGGTATGGGGTTCATGTGTGCATACGTGTGAGGGTATGGGGTTCAGGTGTGTATACGTGTGAGGGTATGGGGTTCAGGTGCGTATACGTGTGAGGGTATGGGGTTCAGGTGTGTATACGTGTGAGGGTATGGGGTTCAGGTGTGTATATGTGTGAGGGTATGGGGTTCAGGTGTGTATACGTGTGAGGGTATGGGGTTCAGGTGTGTATATGTGTGAGGGTATGGGGTTCATGTGTGCATACGTGTGAGGGTATGGGGTTCATGTGTGCATACGTGTGAGGGTATGGGGTTCAGGTGCGTATACGTGTGAGGGTATGGGGTTCAGGTGTGTATACGTGTGATGTTATGGGGTTCATGTGTGCATACGTGTGAGGGTATGGGGTTCATGTGTGCATACGTGTGAGGGTATGGGGTTCAGGTGTGCATACGTGTGAGGGTATGGGGTTCATGTGTGTATGTGTGAGGGTATGGGGTTCATGTGTGTATACGTGTGAGGGTATGGGGTTCAGGTGCGTATGTGTGTGAGGGTATGGGGTTCAGGTGCGTATACGTGTGAGGGTATGGGGTTCAGGTGTGTATACGTGTGAGGGTATGGGGTTCAGGTGCGTATACGTGTGAGGGTATGGGGTTCAGGTGTGTATACGTGTGAGGGTATGGGGTTCAGGTGTGTATATGTGTGAGGGTATGGGGTTCAGGTGTGTATACGTGTGAGGGTATGGGGTTCAGGTGCGTATACGTGTGAGGGTATGGGGTTCATGTGTGCATATGTGTGAGGGTATGGGGTTCAGGTGTACATATGTGTGAGGGTATGGGGTTCATGTGTGCATATGTGTGAGGTATGGGGTTCATGTGTGTATACGTGGGAGGGTATGGGGTTCAGGTGTACATATGTGTGAGGGTATGGGGTTCAGGTGTGTATATGTGTGAGGGTATGGGGTTCAGGTGCGTATACGTGTGAGGGTATGGGGTTCAGGTGCGTATACGTGTGAGGGTATGGGGTTCATGTGTGTATACGTGTGATGTTATGGGGTTCATGTGTGCATATGTGTGAGGGTATGGGGTTCAGGTGTGTATACGTGTGATGTTATGGGGTTCATGTGTGCATATGTGTGAGGGTATGGGGTTCAGGTGTGCATATGTGTGAGGGTATGGGGTTCACGTGTGTATACGTGTGATGTTATGGGGTTCAGGTGTGCATATGTGTGAGGGTATGGGGTTCAGGTGCGTATACGTGGGAGGGTATGGGGTTCATGTGCGTATACGTGGGAGGGTATGGGGTTCGTGTGTGCATACGTGTGAGGGTATGGGGTTCATGTGTGCATACGTGTGAGGGTATGGGGTTCATGTGCATATACGTGTGAGGGTATGGGGTTCATGTGCGTATACGTGTGAGGGTATGGGGTTCATGTGTGTATATGTGTGAGGGTATGGGGTTCAGGTGTGCATACGTGTGAGGGTCGGGTTCATGTGTGTATATGAGTGAGGGTATGGAGTTCATGTGCACATATGTGTGAGGGTATGGGGTTCATGTGTGTATACGTGTGAGGGTATGGGGTTCATTTGTGTATATGTGTGAGGTATGGGGTTCATGTGCGTATACGTGGGAGGGTATGGGGTTCATGTGCGTATACGTGGGAGGGTATGGGGTTCATGTGCCTATACGTGGGAGGGTATGGGGTTCAGGTGTGTATACGTGGGAGGGTATGGGGTTCATGTGTGCATAGGTGTGAGGGTATGGGGTTCATGTGTGCATATGTGTGAGGGTATGGGGTTCAGGTGTGCATATGTGTGAGGGTCTGGGGTTCATGTGTGCTTATGTGTGAGGGTATGGGGTTCATGTGTGCATACGTGTGAGGGTATGGGGTTCAGGTGTGCATATGTGTGAGGGTATGGGGTTCACGTGTGCATATGTGTGAGGGTATGGGGTTCACGTGTGTATACGTGTGAGGGTATGGGGTTCATGTGTGTATATGTAGAGGGTATGGGGTTCAGGTGTGCATATGTGTGATGTTATGGGGTTCATGTGTGCATACGTGGGAGGGTATGGGGTTCATGTGTGCATACGTGGGAGGGTATGGGGTTCATGTGTGCATACGTGGGAGGGTATGGGGTTCATGTGTGCATACGTGGGAGGGTATGGGGTTCATGTGTGCATACGTGTGAGGGTATGGGGTTCATGTGTGCATACGTGTGAGGGTATGGGGTTCAGGTGTGTATGTGTGTGAGGGTATGGGGTTCAGGTGTGTATGTGTGTGAGGGTATGGGGTTCATGTGTGCATATGTGTGAGGGTCTGGGGTTCAGGTGTGCATATGTGTGAGGGTATGGGGTTCAGGTGTGCATATGTGTGAGGGTATGGGGTTCAGGTGTGCATATGTGTGAGGGTATGGGGTTCAGGTGTGCATATGTGTGAGGGTATGGGGTTCATGTGTGTATGTGTGTGAGGGTATGGGGTTCATGTGTGTATGTGTGTGAGGGTATGGGGTTCAGGTGTGGGGAGCGGGGGGCGGCAGGATCGTGGAAGTGTGCAGTGCAAGGGGAGCTAAAAGGAGCCCTGACGCGCGGCAGTGAGGCAGCGGCCCCTGTGCGTCCCGTCCCGTCCCGTCCCGACGCGGCCGAGCAGGCGCAGGCCCGCCGTCCCGGGAGGAACCGCGGAGAAGGCTCCGGAGCGGCGCCCACGGGGTAGGGTGCTGGCGCCGCGGGTGTACACAGCCACCAGCCCTTCAGTCCTAGGCCTTCCTCTGATACAGCCTTCCAGTCAGAAGATCCTTGGATGTGCCGGGCCGGGCCGGGCCGGCTGCGTGGGCGAGGACCAGCGCCCCTCTGAACCGGCCTCCGTCACTCCGCGGCTGCGAGGGCGCGCTCTCCCGCGCGACGACGGCTCCCGCCCGCCCGCGCTCGAGGGCGCGCTCTCCCGCGCGACGACGGCTCCCGCCCGCCCCGGCTCGAGGGCGCGCTCTCCCGCGCGACGACGGCTCCCGCCCGCCCGGGCTCGAGGGCGCGCTCTCCCGCGCGACGACGGCTCCCGCCCGCCCGGGCTCGAGGGCGCGCTCTCCCGCGCGACGACGGCTCCCGCCCGCCCGGGCTCGAGGGCGCGCTCTCCCGCGGTGGGCGGGGCGGGGAGCGGAAGTGACGGGCGGGGGCGGCCGCTTCCGGCGCTGGGGCGCTGCGCTGTCTGCGGGATGGCGGCGCTCGGCCGGAAGGTGCGTGAGGGCCGCCGCGTGCGTGGGTCAGTCGCACTCCTGGCCCGGGTCGCGGGGCGGCGGGGTCCCGCGCGTGCAGGGCGCGCCGTGGGGCGGGGGGTCCCCGGGTGCTTTGGCGTCGGCCGGCCCCGCGCTGTGCTTGCCCAGGGCCTGGGCCCCGGGTGCGGGTGCTGCGGGTCGTGGGCTTGTGTCCGTGACGCCGGGGCCAGTCGATGCCGCTCTGCCTCTGTCTTGCAGGTCCTGGCCTGGCGCCGCCTGCCGCCCCCCGCCTGGGCCTCCGCGGCCGAGCGCACGCCTCCCCCGGCCGCCGGGCTGCGGAGACGGACCGCAGCCTCCCGCGGGGGCGGCCGTGAGGAGCCGTGCGGCGTGGGGCCCGGGGGCAGGCCGAGCGCGGACGCAGCGCCCTCGCCGCTGGACAGGGTCGCCGGCTCCCTCCTGGACATGGGTTTCGCGGAGGCCCAGGTTCGCGAACTGCTCGGCCTGCAGCCCGCGGCCAGCCCTCAGCAGCTGCTGGACGTGGTCTCGGAGTTCATGCTCCTGGGCGTGGATCCGGGGCCCGTGTGCGTGGCCCTGAGGAAAAGCCCCCAGCTCCTGAAGCTGCCTGTGCCGCGCGTGAGGAAGCGCTCCGCCTACCTGCGGAGGCTCGGGCTGGCCGAAGGTACCGCAGGTGGAGACGCCCCACTGGCGGGGAGAGGCGGCGGTGGGAGCCCGCCGCGCTCCTGGGGAGGCCGGGGTGCGTGTGCGTGTGAGCGAGTGTTGAGTGGGAGCAAGTGAGTGTCAGGAATGTGTCAGCGAGCGTGTGTGAGCGAGTGAGAACGAGTGTGAGTATGTGAGTGAGTGAGTGAGAGTGAGCGAGTGTGATCAAGAGTGTGAATGAGTGTGAGTGTGAGCGAGTGACGGGGCGGAGGCAGAACTGCAAGGCCGGGGCCGTCCTCTTGGCTCACTCACTGTAGGGTCTCCGGCGCCTGGAACAGCCGTGGGTGCACGGTGTGCCCTTAGGAGGCCGCCTGTGGTGTGTCACCTTGCTTGGCGTGGTCTCGGTGCCTTGGCTGTGTGATGGGAAGCCTTGTCGAGACGGAGTCCTGCCGAGCGCTGACACGGTGGCCCGGTCTCCCCAGCTCTGCACGGCAATGTCGCTCAGGGCTCCGGGATCTCTGGGGGCTTCTGGAGGCAGGAGCTGAACGCCCTCCCACTTGCAGCACCGGAGTTCCACTGCTGTTTCTTTTCGGGGCTGACTGACTTGGTTTTAGGGGATAAGGTGGTTGGGACCGACAAGATGTCTTTGGGCCTCCTCCAGGAGAGCAGCAGAAGGAAGCAACAGAGCACCTCTTAAAGTGCATTCTGGGGGCTGGCGCTGTGGTGTAGCGGGTAAAGCCACCGCCTGCAGTGCCGGCATCCCATATGGGCGCCAGTTCGAGTCCCGGCTGCTCCACTTCCGATCCAGCTCTCTGCTATGACCTGGGAAAGCAGCAGAAGACGGCCCAAGTCCTTGGGCCCCTGCACCCACGTGGGAGACCTGGAGGAAGCTCCTGGCTCCTGGCTTCGGATTGGCCCAGCTCTGGCCATTGCAGTCATTTGGGGAGTGAACCAGCAGATGGAAGACCTCTCTCTCTACCTCTACCTCTACCTCTCCCTCTCTCCCTCTCTCCCTCTCTCCCTCTCTCCCTCTCTCCCTCTCTCCCTCCCTCTCCCTGTAACTGTCTTTCAAAGAAAAGGTACATTCTGGACTCGGCACATTGTGCCCATGGTTGGGTCGGTCCTCAGGCAGCACAGGCGTCTGCTGGGACAGCTTCCACTCTTGTTCAGCTCGGTCTTCAGCTTCGAGGCATGCCCGGGTGTGGGAGCGTCCCAGCCGACGGGCTGTTTCAGTGCACTTGTTAGCAGGGCCTCTCACCCAGAGTGCCCAGGTCTGGGTGAGACACCCAGTCACCGTGATGACAAGGACGCCGGTGTCGGTGGGTGTGCGTGGTGTTCGTTCTCCTTGCCGCTCTCACCCTTGCTACCGTGAAGTTCAGGCTCCCAGGGCCCCTCCCAGGGGAGGCCGGGCTCCCACCTCACTGGTGTTTCCCCGAAGTCCCTGTGAGAAGTGGCAGAGGAGGCCCAGGACAGGGAGCTGGTGCCTTCCGGATGGGGCCCGGGAAGAGGCCGGGACACGGGAGAGGAGGGCTGTGTCGTCTCCGTTTGCTTCCAGGAAGAGAAGTCTGCAGCGGGCCCTTGTTCTGTAGGAGAGGATCCTCGGGTTTTTTAATTTGTTTACTTGCAGGTCAGAGTTACAGAGAGGCAGAGAGAGAGGGAGAGAGAGAGAGAGAGAGAGAGGTCTTCCATCCACTGGTTCACTCTCCAGATGGCCACAATGCCTGGAGCTGTGCCAATCTGAAGCCAGGACCTTCTTCCGGGTCTCCCGTGTGGGTGCAGGGGCCCAAGGACTTGGGCCATCTTCCGCTGCTTTCCCAGGCCATAGCAGAGAGCTGGATCGGAAGTGGAGCAGCTGGGACACGAATTGGCACCCATGCGGGATGCCGGCGCTGCAGGTGGTGGCTTTACCTGCTGGCCACAGCAGAGCTGGATCGGAAGTGGAGCCGCCGGGACTAGAACCAGCGCCCATGTGGGATGCCGGCACTGCAGGTGGCGGCTTTACCTGCTGGCCGCAGCGTCGGCCCCCCTTGCTTGTCTTTGAAAAGCTGACTTGATGCAGGTGCAGCTAGCCTCTGGGCTGCTGGAATTTTCTGAAATCGAGTGCCTGCCTGTTGACACCTCCAGGGAAGCTGAAGCGGGTGCTTCACTGTTGCCCTGAAGTCTTCACCATGCACCAGCAGCACGTGGAGGGCGTCGTCGGCGTCCTCAAGGGCAAGTGCCTCTTCTCGGCAGAGCAGGTCACCGAGATTTTACACAGGTGCCCCCAAGTTCTTCGGGAAGACCCTGGTGACCTGGAGTACAAGTTCCAGGTGAGCGCGCCTGGGAGGGCGCTCGGGTGGCAGTGGGAAGTTTGCTTGTTCAGACGCGGGAGGGGTCAGCTCTCTGGGTCTGGAGCCTCGCGCATCGTGCAGGGGCAGAGCTTACACTGTCTGGTTCTTACCGCTTCATCCAGGTCAGCCCATTCTGCTGTGGTTCTGACATTAGTAATGAATGACCCAGTTCCATTCTCAGAGTCCAAGTGGGAGTTCCATATGGAACCGGCAGTTCTAACAGAGAAAACCTTTATATTTTTGGAACCTATTTTGCATGTTTTTTTTTTTTTTTTTTTTTTTTTTTTTTAAAGATTTGTTTATTTATTTGAAAGAGTTACACAGAGAGAGGAGAGAGGGAGAGAGACAGAGAGGTCTTCCATCCACTGGTTCACTCCCCAATTGACCACAATGGCAGGAGCTGTGCCGATACGAAGCCAGGAGCTTCTTCCAGGTCTCCCACGTGGGTGCAGGGGCCCAAGGACCTGGGCATCTTCCACTGCTTTTGCAGGCCATAGCAGAGAGCTGCATCAGAAGTGGAGCAGCCAGGGCTCGAACCGGCACCCTTATGAGATGCTGGCACTGCAGGCTGGGGCTTTAAGCCGCTGTGCCACAGCACCGGCCCCGTGCATGTTGATTTTGAGAGTAGTTGTGCTGGTTGTCCTGCTTAGTAACAACTGTGGCAACTTGGGTGTATTGCCTAGATATTTTCTGAGAATTTTCGCTGTTGTTTCCATACTCAAAATTCTCTTCCTGTGTAAGGAGAATATAGAAGAAGATAATTTATCTCTTCTGCCTCTTTATTTCCTCCTATGTTTCCTTTTTTTTTTTTTAAAGATTTTATTAATTTATTTGAAAGGCAGAGTTACAGAGAGAGAGAGATCGTCCATCCAGTGGTTCACTCTCCAGATGGCTGCAACGGCCGGAGCTGGGCCGGTTCAAAGCCAGGAGCCAGGAGCTTCTGGGTCTCCCACGTGGGTGCAGGGGCCCAAGGACTTGGGCCATCTTCCGCTGCTTTCCCAGGCCACAGCAGAGAGCAGGATTGGAAGTAGAGCAGCTGGGACTTGAGCCAGCGCACATACGGGATGTCGCCACTGCGGCGGCAACTTAATTCACCTTCTTGCTGTGAACTGAAGGTGCCTTGGGAAGCGCAGCTGTCACCGTCAGTGCTGCAGAGTGACTGCCGTGGTACTTTGCAGTCCTTTCTGAGTGCTCTTGGGGACAGTGGGAGTTGACTGTGGGGTGGCGTGGCGGGTTTTTCAGTCTGTCTGGGATTCCTAAGTGTGTCTGTGTTTTCAGTATGCGTATTTTAGGATGGGAATTAAGCACCTGGACATAGTGCGGAGTGATTTCCTGCAGTACTCAGTGACGAAGATCAAGCAGAGACACACGTACCTGGAGCGCCTCGGACGCTACCAAACCCCGGACAAGAAGGGGCAGACACAGATCCCTAACCCTTTGCTCAAGGACGTCCTCAGGGTGTCAGAGGCCGAGTTTTTGGCCAGGACGGCCTGTTCTTCTGCCGAGGAGTTTGAGGTTTTTAAGAAACTCTTGGCTCGGGAGGAGGAGGAGGTCTCTGAGAGTGGCGATGAGGACGGAGACGAGGGGGAGGGGGAGGAGGGCGAGCAGCAGCGGTGAAGGGAGGAGTGGAGTGAGAGGGCCCTCCCATGAGCGTTTCCACTCGGATCGTGTCCGGTGTTTTTCACCCAGAGCTGACCTTTGATGGGAAACGCTACAGATCCCCCAAGAAGTAGGTCAGACGTGGCAGGTCGAGGGAGGCCCCCGATGCACCATAAATAAAGACTGATTCTGGGGCCGGCACTGTGGCGCAGTAGATTAATCCTCCACCTGCAGTGCCAGCATCCCATATGGGTGCCGGTTCGAGTCCCGGCTGCTCCACTTCTGATCCAGCTCTCTGCTATGGCCTGGGAAAGCAGTGGAAGGTGGCCCAAGTGCATGGACCCCTGCACCCACATGGGAGACCTGGAAGAAGCTCCTGGCTCCTGGCTTTAAATTGGCCCAACTCCGGCCTTTGCGGCCATCTGGGGAGTGAACCAGCAGCAGATGCGATTTCTCTGCCTCTCCCTCTCTCTGTAACTCTACCTCTCAAGCAAATAAATATATTTAAAAAAATAGTGGGAGTTATTTTTAATTTTAAGTAAATGAATGAATAAATGAAGACTGATTCTGCTGTTAAACCCCAGGGCACTGATGCCGCAGTGTGGTCTTGGTTCTCCTCTGCTGTGTGTGTGTGTGTGATGGCTCCATGGGCTGGAGGGGCGTTCCTTCTGGGGAAGGCCAGCTTGCCACTTGCTTCTAGTGGTGAGTCACGAGAAAGCAGTGTGAGGGTTAGTGCATCACAGCACTTTATTTCATGAAAAAAGTAGCAGGTTTTTCCTCTGAAATACTCGAGATTTTAATCCAGAGGTATCTTACTGCTCCAGGTGGTGATGGGTGTGCCAGAGTGTGAGGTCAGAGGTCAGCCTGGAGTGCAGGTGGACTTGGCAGGCACAGTCCGGCACTTTGCTTTGTTCTGGTGAGGAACAGGCCCTCCCTGCTGAAGCTGAATGGTGCCAACTCCTGGCCAGGGGTCCCCTCCAGGCCCGAGGCGTCTAGAGCGTGTGGCCTGGGGAGCTGTCCGCGCGTGCGCTCCCCAGCTGTGTTAGGGAAAGGCTCTGAGGAGCAGGAATCGGGCTACAGGGCCGGTCCTGGTTTTGTTCCAGGGAGCACTGCACGGCACCCCTGGTGTGGGCCTCACCTTAGGGAACCCAGCAGGTGGAAGGAGCAGTGGACAGTGTGGGGAACGGGGAAGGAGGAGGGAGAGGCCTGGCTGGGGCTCTGATGGTGTGAGTCCCGGAGGACGAACGTGCTGGCCCCCTCGCCCTGGGTGCTGCCCCGGAGGAGGCTGCAGAAGCGTCCTGCAGCATCTTGGCAAGTGCGTGGAGCAGGCGTGGCTCTGCTTCACCTGGATAGTCGGGCATCTGGTTGTCATGAGCCTGGGCGGAGCGGGCAGGCTGCTCCTGTCTAGTGAGTAGTCAGGGCTGTGGGGAGGGCCCAGCCAAGTGCTCTCAGGCTTAGTCGGCCACGAATGTGACAGTGTCAGAGCAGCTGTGTGTTCAGGAGGCTTCTTCCCTGTGCCCTGGGAGACTCAGGAGGGCTGAGCTGGAGTCTGATGCGGGCACCAGCACCAGGGTGCAGGGTCTTGTGAAGGCACCAAGTGGCTGCTAAGGAAAGCCCTCCCCAGAGCTGACATCAGTGGCAGGAGCTTGCCAGCGGGAGGCGCTGGTGCTAAGGGAAGGTGCAGGAAGTTGGCTGACCCAGGACAGGGCCATGTGCCATGGAGGAGAGGGAGGTCTTTATTTTTCCTGGCCGTGGGCAAAGCCGAAAGCGAAGACAACGCAGTTGGTGCCGGTGTTGTCTGCATGGGAGCATCGCTTCCTGCAGGCTCCGGGAGCCCTGCCTGTGCCCAGCCGGGACAGAGTCGGCTCCTGGGACTGCTCGACGAGGTCTTGGTTCACTCCAGCTGTGGTCAGCGACGCGTGACATGGACACGGCTGTTCTGCTGCAGCGTCTGCTTGCGCGGAATCTCCCTGGGGGTTTGAGTAGTGAGGAAGACTGCAGGCCTGCAGAGGGGCTGGATCCCCTCGTGTCGCAGGTCCCCTTTCTGATACCTACTTGGAGGAGACCTGAGGACACAGGGCCACCCGGCGCCATGCCGAGGACTTGGCAGATCATCTCTCGTTGGGACAGAGGCCTCTAAGCTCCAGGGGGACCTGTCAGCGTCGGCCGGTGGCCATCCATGTGGTAGTGGGAAGTCCACTGTGCACACCCAGTGACGGCTCTGGTCTCGTGGTGGGCGCGTGAGTGCGGCGGCTCAGACACACGGCGACAGTTCCTGGAGCCACGGCCGAGTCGGCACAGCACTCTGCTCACCCTGCGTGTGAGACCCTGCAGCCTGGGAGCCCCTGGGGCACAGCCGGCTGGAAGTGATGTTCTCTCTGAAGATGGCAAATTGCATAATACACAGACGTACGCACACAGAATTTTAATAAAAATAGTCTAAAATATACTCTAGCTCTTCAGTAAGTGCTGGTATAGGAGCAGAGGGGGAGGCCCCTCTCGGGCCAGGAGTGACCCTGAGCAGGCTCGGGGGCACGCAGGGTCTGAGTCCCCTGCTTGTCACCTGTGTGGGGAGAAGCTGGGGCTGCGCAGGGCCAGGGCTGGATTGCAGGTGCCATGACAGGTGCAGGTCTCGGGAGGAGCTGGAGCAGTGCCTGAGCCGCGGGCTGCAGGACCTGCCCGTGACCCACGTGCTCGCCTCTGCCATGTTCGCCTTGGGCGGCGGAGCCCTTGCTGCCTTGTGGCCTCCGCTGTCTAAGCAGGGGTCTCGATGGCGTTTTTCTGTGAAACCCAGGGGTCTTTGGTCCTTGGAGACTTGTCCTCACGCAGCTTCCTCTGTGTGAGGCTGAAGCTGGGGTTCTCGGAGAGCAAAGCCTCACTAGTAGTGGCCCAGAGTGTCACTGGGTCATGGCCACACGTGTGCGGGCTCGTCCTTGGCCGTGTCCACGCCACGGAAGCAGAGTTGGGCCATTACACAGAGACCATCTGGTCTGCAGACGGCCAGCCCTCCACAGAGAAGATGCTAAGATGTCTACTTCTCCATTTCCACTTCGGCAGTGTTGCGGTCTGCATGGCCGGTGCAGGCCTGTAGAGTAGTCAGCGTCGGTCGTAGAGGGGAACGTGGCGGGTGAGGCTGTCTCTCTGCCCCTCCCACCCCTGCAGTCCTGCTTGGGATCTGGGTGGTTGGGTCTCGGAGCGTGGGGCCTCTGTGCTGGAATCTGAGCAGCGCCAGTCAGCCGGCAGGCTCGCTGACCCGCCGGACGCTCACGGGCGCACACCGCGCCCCGGAGAGCCAGAGCTGCATCCTGCGCATCACGGGACTTGGGGACGGCCGGGCCTGCAGGAGTCCCCAGGGTGCGCTGTGCAGCTGCGAGCCTGGCCGTCGTCCTGAGATCGCAAGGAGGGGCCTCCCAGGGAACTCACTCCAGCTGGGCCTTGTCGCAAGGGCGTCTTTTTGATCCAGTTTTTAGACCCCGTCTTCCTGGGCTTTAGAAACCTGGAGGTTGGTGGAGCGACGAGAACATCCGAGTCCTTGGAAGGAAAACAAAGCAAAGCTGAGGGCATGACAGCCACACCCCTCCTCTGTGATAGCCACAACCCCTCCTGACAGCCACACCCCCTCCTCTGACAGCCATACCTCCTTCTGTGACAGCCACACCCCTGCTCTGTGACAGCCACACCCCTGCTCTGTGATAGCCACAACCCCTCCTGACAGCCACACCCCCTGCTCTGTGACAGCCACACCCCTGCTCTGTGATAGCCACAACCCCTCCTGACAGCCACACCCCCTGCTCTGTGACAGCCATACCTCCTCCTGTGACAGTCACACCCCCTGCTCTGTGACAGCCATACCTCCTTCTGTGACAGCCACACCCATGCTCTGTAACAGCCACACCCCTGCTCTGTAACAGCCACACCCCCTCCTGACAGCCATACCCCCTCCTCTGTGACAGCCACACCCCTGCTCTGTGGCAGCCACAACCCCTCCTGACAGCCACACCCCCTGCTCTGTGACAGCCATACCTCCTTCTGTGACAGCCACACCCATGCTCTGTAACAGCCACACCCCTGCTCTGTGACAGCCACACCCCCTCCTGACAGCCACACCCCCTCCTCTGTGACAGCCACACCCCTGCTCTGTGGCAGCCACAACCCCTCCTGACAGCCACACCCCCTGCTCTGTGACAGCCATACCTCCTTCTGTGACAGCCACACCCATGCTCTGTAACAGCCACACCCCTGCTCTGTGACAGCCACACCCCCTCCTGACAGCCACACCCCCTCCTCTGTGACAGCCACACCCCTGCTCTGTGGCAGCCACAACCCCTCCTGACAGCCACACCCCCTGCTGTGACAGCCATATCTCCTCCTGTGACAGCCACACCCCCTCCTCTGTGGCAGCCACACCCCTGCTCTGTGACAGCCACACCCCTCCTCTGTGACAGCCATACCTCCTCCTGTAACAGCCACATCCCCTCCTCTGTGGCAGCCACACCTCCTCTGTGGCAGCCACACCCCTGCTCTGTGACAGCCACACCCCCTCCTGACAGTCACACCCCTGCTCTGTGACAGCCACACCCCTCCTGACAGCCACACCCCCTCTGTTCCCACTCTGCCTCCTGTCTCTCTCCTGGGACCTGTCAGTGTGGTTCCAGCTAGTGTCCTGATTCTCCCGTGTGCTGGGAGCAGGATGGGTGTACTTCTGTTTCTTGCTTATTTGTGTTTTCTCCATTGTCTCCAGAATGTGTGCTGTGTAAGCCAGTGTTTGATCACTTGGAATTTGGGGCTTGTGATTTTCTTTTTCTTTCTTTCTTTTCTTTTTTTCTTTTCTTTTTTTTTTTTTTTTTTGACAGAAAGAGAGAAAGGTCTTCCTTCCATTGGTTCATCCCTCAAATGGCTGCTACAGCCAGCACTGCACCGATCTGAAGCCAGGAGCCAGGTGCTTCTCCTGGTCTCTCATGCGGGTGCAGGGCCCAAGCACTTGGGCCATCCCCCACTGCACTCCCTGGCCACAGCAGAGAGCTGGACTGGAAGAGGAGCAACCGGGACAGAATCTGACGCCCCAACCGGGACTAGAACCTGGGGTGCCGGTGCCGCAGGCGGAGGATTAGCCCCGTGGGCCGCGGCGCCGGCTGTGATTTCTTTTTCTAAGCCGTGGGCTTGCTGAGTACAGTTTGAAAGTCAGGTCACTGTTTCAGTGACTTCCTGCTGTGGAGGTGTGCGAGTGTGTCTCTGGGGTGGGGAGGAGCTGTGGCTCTGAGCAGAGGGCAGTGGATCCTGCCAGCTGCTCTCTATGGAGAGATCGCTCCTGTCTGGATGGGCTGGGTGCCCACGCTGCTGCAGGGGATGGCTCGTTCCTTAGCCACATGGGACACAGCCAGCTCTGCAGTGGCTTTCCACCCAAGGCGGGGACTGCTGGGGCCCATTCAAGGGGCAGGCGTAGCGCCTGTCCTCACTCCCAGTGTCCTGGCGATGGGAAGTTCAGTTGGCACCAAGCGGCCTGTAGGCTGTGGCGAGGTGTCACGATGTTTCCCAGCTATGGTGCAGACACCAGTGGTGCTGGCCCCTGGACAGCCTGAGTGGACGAGGAGGGAGGAAACGCTGGATTAAACAAACAGTTTCTTTCCTTTCAGGATTAATGAATCCTTGGGATTCTCGTGTCCGTGTGGATGGTGTGAGGACTCAGGGCTCCCGTGTCCGTGTGGATGGTGTGAGGACTCAGGGTTCCCGTGTCCGTGTGGATGGTGTTGGGGGACTCAGGGCTCCCGTGTCCGTGTGGATGGTGTGAGGACTCAGGGTTCCCGTGTCCGTGTGGATGGTGTGAGGACTCAGGGTTCCCGTGTCCGTGTGGATGGTGTGAGGACTCAGGGTTCCCGTGTCCGTGTGGATGGTGTGAGGACTCAGGGCCCCCGTGTCCGTGTGGATGGTGTGAGGACTCAGGGTTCCCGTGTCCGTGTGGATGGTGTGAGGACTCAGGGCCCCCGTGTCCGTGTGGATGGTGTGAGGACTCAGGGCCCCCGTGTCCGTGTGGATGGTGTGAGGACTCAGGGCCCCCGTGTCCGTGTGGATGGTGTGAGGACTCAGGGCCCCCGTGTCCCGTGTGGATGGTGTGAGGACTCAGGGCCCCCGTGGTCCGTGTGGATGGTGTGAGGACTCAGGGCCCCCGTGTCCTTGTGGATGGTGTGAGGACTCAGTGGCCCCCGTGTCCGTGTGGATGTGTGATGACTCAGTGGCCCCCCGTGTCCGTGTGGATGGTGTGAGGACTCAGGGTTCCGTGTCCGTGTGGATGGTGTGTAGGACTCAGGGTTCCCGTGTCCGTGTGGATGGTGTGAGGACTCAGGGTTCCCGTGTCCGTGTGGATGTGTGTGAGGACTCAGGGCCCCCGTGTCCGTGTGGATGGTGTGAGGACCTCGGGCCCCCGTGTCCGTGGGGATGGTGTGAGGACTCAGGGTTCCCGTGTCCGTGTGGATGGTGTGAGGACTCAGGGTTCCCGTGTCCTTGTGGATGGTGTGAGGACTCAGGGTTCCCGTGTCCGTGTGGATGGTGTGAGGACTCAGGTGTTCCCGTGTCCGTGTGGATGGTGTGAGGACTCAGGGTTCCCGTGTCCGTGTGGATGGTGTGAGGACTCAGGGTTCCCGTGTCCGTGTGGATGGTGTGAGGACTCAGGGTTCCCGTGTCCGTGTGGATGGTGTGAGGACTCAGGGCCCCCGTGTCCGTGTGGATGGTGTGAGGACTCAGGGCCCCCGTGTCCGTGTGGATGGTGTGAGGACTCAGGGCCCCCGTGTCCGTGTGGATGGTGTGAGGACTCAGGGTTCCCGTGTCCGTGTGGATGGTGTGAGGACTCAGGGTTCCCGTGTCCGTGTGGATGGTGTGAGGACTCAGGGTTCCCGTGTCCGTGTGGATGGTGTGAGGACTCAGGGTTCCCGTGTCCGTGTGGATGGTGTGAGGACTCAGGGTTCCCGTGTCCGTGTGGATGGTGTGAGGACTCAGGGTTCCCGTGTCCGTGTGGATGGTGTGAGGACTCAGGGTTCCCGTGTCCGTGTGGATGGTGTTGGGGGACTCAGGGCTCCCGTGTCCGTGTGGATGGTGTGGGGGGGACTCAGGGCTCCTGTGTCCGTGTGGATGGTGTGAGGACTCAGGGTTCCCGTGTCCGTGTGGATGGTGTGAGGACTCAGGGTTCCCGTGTCCGTGTGGATGGTGTGAGGACTCAGGGCTCCCGTGTCCGTGTGGATGGTGTGAGGACTCAGGGTTCCCGTGTCCGTGTGATCTGGAGAGAGACTTCCTGAAAGGTTCTTCAGGAGGGTGCTCTCAGCACCCCGCCCTCACACTGTCCCAGTCCCACCTCCTTCCAGGTGCCCATCAGTCTTGCCATTCGGAGCCTGCCTGCCCCATTGTAGCTGCCAGGGCTTCTTGGCTGGGTTTCCCTGGGAGAGATGGGGTTCGCCCCGCCCCATTGTAGCTGCCCGGGCTTCTTGGCTGGGTTTCCCTGGGAGAGATGGGGTTCGCCCCGCCCCGGGAGCCTCTCTGCCAGCTGGAGACGTTGCCGCTGGTGGGACCCGGACCTGTGCAGGGAGGCCTTGCGGGTCTGTTTGCTCAGATGCCCCACAGGGAATTCCAGAGCCTCCTGCCCTGGGGGCCGCGACCAGCAGGGCCCTCAGAGGCTCAGGGCAGGGGCGCCTCTCCCTCTTGGGGACAGCTCTGCGGGTGGCGGGGGACTTACCTTAAGATTTCTTCAGTGTTTGACTGTTACTTTGTTTCCTGAAATGGAGAGGGTGTTTAATGAGAAAGACACCCTTGACCCTCCAACCACCTCTGCCCCAGCTGCTGCGGAGGGCAGGCCTGGCTTGGCTCGTGTCCTTTCTGGCGTGGGGAGCACAGACTCCACTGTGGAGGTCAGTGCTTCTCTGTGTGTGTCCACCTGGCTGAGGTGGTCTTGTGAGGGACGAGGACGGCAGCCCGGCTGCGTGACAGGTGTTCAGGAGCTGCCCTTAGGGAGGGGCCTTTCCTGTGGCTGTGGCCAGTCTGTGGCCAGCAGGATAGGGCCTGCACACTGCTCCCTCAGAGCCTGCCATGGCCCCAGCTCTGTCCAGGGCCTACGGGGAAAGGCCCTGGGTCGAGTGAGTCAGAGTGCTCGGAGGTTTGCCACAGTCACAGACGTGCCTGGGCCTGTCACAGCGCCCCGTGTGCACATGCGCGGCTGGCACGAACCCCAGCGCCACCCCTGTGCTGTGCTTTGCAGGCGGGTGTGCTCACAGACATGCACATGCACACACATGCACACGTGCACACATGCACACGTGCACACATGCACGTGCACACATGCACACACGTGCACACATGCACATGCTCACACATGCACACACGCATACATGCACATGGTAACACATACATATGCACATACACACACATGAACACGCACACTCTCACACATGTGCACACACACGCACACACATGCACACATACACATGATCACAATACACATGCTCGCACATGCTCACACATGCACACGTGCACGTGCACACGCTCACACATGCATACACACATACATGCACACACGCTCACACATGCATATGCGCATACATGCACATGCACGAACACTCCCACACATGTGCACGATCACACATGCACACACATGCGCACGCTCACACATGCACACACACACACATGCGCACGCTCACACATGCACATGATCACAGTTGCTTAGTGGAGCAGGGCTGCACAGGCCACCCTTCGGGGCAGGCAGCCGGGTCGGCCTGCAGGCCTGCAGCATCCCCTAGCATTCTGTCCCAGGCCACCCTTGCCCCGTCACCGCGCGCTGCATGCAGGACGCAGGCTGGGCCTCGTCCCTGGACGGCACCTGTGTGGGGTTTCTTGAGGCTGGTGCTCTCGCAGCTCTCTCTGAAGCAGACGTCGTGGCGCACTCTGTAGATTCTCTTATACCTGTTGTCACAAGGAAGCGGGTGTTGCCGCCGCACCCACCGTGGGGAGCCAGTGCAAGGCCGTCCCCCCACCCCCGCAGGACACGTCACGTGACAGTGAAGATGACGTGTGCAGTTCCCGTGTTGTGACTTTGCCTGAGGCAGGCCGCAGAGCCCAGGGCCTTGGGCACGAATGGCCTCACTCTCGGAGTGGTGTGCATGTTCTCCCGAGAAGTCTGGAAGCCTTGGGGCCACCGGCACCGGTGTGGACAGAGACGCAGGAGCCCTGACTCCAGCCCTGCCCCTTGCGTGCAGCCTGGCTCCGTGTGAAGGGGGCAGGGCTCGCCCAGCAGCCACCGCGCGGGCTTGCAGGTGGTGAGGGATGCCCAAGCTGGGCTGCGTTCGAGCCACTGGAGATCCCAGCAGCTCCTCGTGCCGCGGCTGATGGACTCTAGGGTTCAGAACGCCTGGTGAGGGTTCTCCTGGCCCTAAGGGAGAACTGGAGCTGGGGTTCACCTCCTACCAGGCAGCAGCACAGGAAGTGACTTTTTAGAAGTTTGAGAGCAGGTGGTGCAAGGACAGAAGCCGGCCTGAGGAACACCAGCGAGACCTGGGAGCCGCCCCAAAGCCCCTCTGGGCTGCAGTGGTCCCACGGGGCTGAGCAGACAGCGGTGTGGGGAGGCGGAGTAAGAGAATGGAGCGGAGGGAGCTTGAGAATCTGCCGAGGGTCTCCTTGAGCCCCCGGGGACGGATGCAGGGGAAGCTGCATGTGACGCTCGGGGAGAACCCAAGGCCAGCAGGGAAGAGCCCAGCAGGGAAGAGCCCAGCAGGGAAGAGCCCAGCAGGGAAGAGCCGCCGAGCCACTCCCAGTGCCGCAGCCCTGCCACAGACACTCCGGAAGGCTGTGCTGTCTTAGAGGGGCTGGAATCAGCCCAGGAATCGGCTGCTCCAAGCATGGTGCAGAGTGTTAAACCAGACTCAGGAACATGCTTGAACACCTGGAAAATCCAGTACTCAGTACCATCAGATTCTAAGGTGCAGCACCCAGTAAAGTGTTGTGAGACGTTTAAAGAACATGGAGGACAAAGTGTGGCCCACAGCCTGGAGACAGAGGCTCGACTGGAAGGCCCAGCAGTGAGTGGTGACCGACATTCCTGTCCCACGTGGTCAGTGGGCTCAGGAAGATAAAGGGTGCAGGGAAACACGGGGGAGCCAGCGAAGAATCTGGGGCCCAGGCCCCGGAGTGGCAAGTGCGCTGGGCAGTGCTGAGGGCACACTGGACGCTTGGATGCTGCCAAAGAAGGGATGAGGGACCTTGAGCACTGAGCAGTAGAATCGGCCCAGAAACAAGAGCAAGTGGACTGCAGAGTGAAGAGAGCTGCAGTGAACTGTGGGCAGTGTTAGTCTACATGCGTGTGACTGCAGGCAGTGTTAGCCTACACACGTGTGACTGTGGGCAGTGTTAGCCTACACGAGTGTACTGTGGGCAGTGTTAGTCTACATGCATGTGACTGTGGGCAGTGTTAGCCTAAACATGTGTGACTGTGGGCAGTGTTAGTCTACATGCGTGTGACTGCAGGCAGTGTTAGCCTACACAGGTGTACTATGGGCAGTGTTAGTCTACATGCATGTACTGTGGGCAGTGTTAGCCTACATGCGTGTGACTGCAGGCAGTGTTAGCCTAAACATGTGTGACTGTGGGCAGTGCTAGTCTACATGCGTGTGACTGCAGGCAGTGTTAGCCTACAGGAGTGTACTGTGGGCAGTGTTAGTCTACACATGTGTACTGTGGGCAGTGTTAGTCTACATGTGTGTGACTGTGGGCAGTGTTAGTCTACATGTGTGCAACTGTGGGCAGTTAGTCTGACACACATGTAACTGTGGGCAGTGTTAGTCTGACATGTGTGTGACTGTGGGCAGTATTTGACACACATGTGACTGGGCGGTTAGTCTGACACACATGTAACTGGGCAGTGTGTCTTACACATGTGACTGGCAGTGTTAGTCTGACATGCATGACTGTGGGCAGTATTAGTCTGACGCATGTGTGACTGGGCAGTGTTAGTGTGACACGTGTGACTGTGTCAGTGTTTGATGTGTGACTGTGGCAGTGTTAGTCTGACACACGTGACTGTGGCAGTGTTAGTCTGACACCTGTGACTGTGGGCAGTTAGTCTGACACACGTGTAACTGGACAGTGTTAGTCTGACACACGTGACTGGGTAGTATTAGTCTGACACACATGTAACTGTGGGCAGTGTTAATCTGACATGTGTATGACTGTGGGCAGTATTAGTCTGACGTGTGTGACTGTGGGCAGTATTTGGCACACATGTGACTGGGTGGTTAGTCTGACACGCATGACTGTGGCAGTGTTAGTCTGACACGCGTGACTGTGGCAATGTTAGTCTGACGTGTGTGACTGTGGGTGGTTAGTCTGACACACATGTAACTGGGCAGTGTGTCTTACACATGTGACTGGCAGTGTTAGTGTGACTCGTGTGACTGTGGCAGTGTTAGTTTGACACACGTGACTGGAGCTCCAGAGTGGAAAGAAACACAGGGACAGGACACAGGTGAGGGGGAAGCCGTCCTGGCCCAGGTTTCCAAGTTTGAGGGAACCCAGAAACAAGAGGCGGTGAATCCAGAGAAGGGCGGCGCCAGCCACCAGAGCCGCAGTGGCACGGCAGCCACGCCCTGCCACGCCCGGGGCACACAGGTGTGGCTCCAGAGCTGTCCAGCAGGAAGTGCTGAGGGCACCGGGAGAGCTGGCACCCGCGCCACCCGCAGCTTCTGCAGCCCGGCTACCCACATGGCGGACGTGGGCGGAGTTCTGGGCCCCCAGCTTGGGCCTGGCCCAGCCTGGCTGTCGTGGGCGTTTGGGGAGGGAGCCTGTGGGTGGACGGTGCCTCTCACGCCCTCCCTCTGCCTCTCACCTAGGTGAAAATGAGCAGACATGTTTAGGAGCTGGCATTGTGGCCCAGTGGTTTGAGCCACTGCTTGCAAGCCCTGGATCTCACACTGGAGCGCGGGTTCAAGTCCTCGCTGCTCTGCTTCCCTCCCAGTCCCCTGCTACTGCTCCTGGGAAGGCGACGGAAAATGGTGCAACGACTGGGCCCCTGCGCCCGTGTGGGAGACCCGGATGGAGATCCTGGCCCTGGCTGTTGTAGCCGTTTAGAGAGCGAATGGCAGATAGGAGGTGTTTTCTGTCTTTCCGTCTCTCTCGTTTTCTCCGCCTTTTGAATGAATCAATGAGTGAATAAAATAAAATATAAAGTTTATGAAAGTGTTTAAAATTAAGACCTTTTCAGACAGGCAAAGGCAGAGAGACTTCGTCACCCACAGACCTGAGCTGTAAGGAATATTACAAAGGGGCCGGCACCTGCAGCGCCAGAAAATCCCATGTGGGCTCCGGTTCTAGTCCCGGCTGCTCCACTTCCAATCCAGCTCTCTGCTGTGGCCCGGGAAAGCAGTAGAAGATGGCCCAAGTGCTTGGGCCCCTGCACCCACGTGGGAGACCTGGAGGACGCTCCTGGCTCCTGGCTTTTTGAAGAAGCTCCAGGCATTGTGGCCCTCTGGGGAGAGAACCAGGAGCTGGAAGACCCCTCTCTCTCACTACCTCTGCCTCTGTAACTCTGCCTTTCAAATGAATAAATAAATCTTTTTAAATGGTTACAGTAAGTTCTTTAGGCCCGGAGGAGTGACGGACCTTCCTTCCACAGCAAGTGAAGAGGGGTGGAAATGGTAAACGTACAAACAAATACAAAAGGTCTTGTGCTTTCAAACGGAAAAATCATTTTCTGCTAAGTGCAAAATGAGCATTCTGTGCAGCCCACAGCCTACATGGGAGTAAGAACCCCTGCGGACAGCATTGCACGGGGTGGAGGGGGTGGAGGCCACGTGAGGGCAACGGGGTGCCCGTCCCGAGCAGCCGCTGGAACCGTAAACCGCTTCAAAGAGCTCATGGAAAAATGGAGCTAAAATGGATTTCTTTTTGGTGCAAACATTTTGAAATGCATGCATCGTTTCTTTCTTTGTAATAGGTATTTTCCACGCTTTTTTTAAAGACCTCTCATAGTTCGTAGACAAATGGTGAGGGTAAAATGGAATCCTAAAGCATGATCCACAGTTGGGAAAAGTGGAAAAGGACAGAAAACAAACAGCAGCGTGGCAGCGGGGACCCGGCCATCTCAGTCACGTGGCACCCACACGCTCTGCGTCTGTACCGGAGACAGACGCGGCCAGGCCCAGCCGTTTGCTCACAAACACCAGGGGGAGTGAAGCGCTCTCCTCGTCGGGGCCCTGGGAGGGGCGTCCAGCACCGGGACCTGGTAGTCGGCACCGCTGGACGCCGTGGACGCTAACGTGGCCGTCAGTGCGGAGAAGGCCTGGCTTCCTAGCCGCATGTCCCTGGGGCGTCTGGAGGGTCCCGCGTGCCTGCTCAGGACCCCTCAGCAGCTCCCGTTTCACCTGGGGCCCCCATCACCTGGGGCCCCCATCACCCCCCCCCCCCCGCCTTGCTCACGGCTCCAGCCCTGCGGGCCCCAGACTGCTCCAGGGTTTTGGCAGTGGATACGGACGGTCTGGAACGTTCTTCCCTCAGGTGTCCCCCCTCCACATGGGCGCAGTGTCCCTGTCCCTGGCCCTGTCTGATGCCCGCTGCTCCCCACATCTGCTCTCCGCCGCACCTGGCCTGCTTTCCCCAGCATGAGCGCCTGCTGCGCCCCTACACAGAGCTCTGGGTGCTGGCCTCGGCTGGGACCGTGACCCCGGTCACACGGGGCGCCAGAAACATGCCGACGGACGCGCTAGCCCACTTCACACATGGCGACGCTGAGGCCTGAGTGACGAGCCCAGGGCCACACGGTGGGAGAATGGCAGAGCTCTGGAGACCCCGCCCGCAGCGGGCTGGGGCAGAGGTGCTGGAGGGGCCCTCCCAGCGACTGCTCCTGAGCTGGGCCACCGGGGTTGGGGCGGGGGAGGAGTGGGGACCAGGTCGTTAGAGCAAGGCCGTTTGTGCGTGCCCCGCCCCCACCCCCGCCCTCCCTTGGGTCAGGTGGGCATGAGGCTCCGGGCGGGGACGACTTACACGTGGTGGCAGACACCCCCCTCCCAGACCGGAACCGACTTGGTCTCGGAGAAGAGCCGGGTGCATGGGCGAGGCACCTTCCTACAGGCTGTGCACAGAGGAGAAGGCGGCTCAGGGCCAGGCTCCTGCCCTTTGAGAGCCCCCAGCCCTGCAGCCTGCCGTGCCTAGGGCGTCCGCACAGGCCACCTTCTGGGCAAGTCCCTGTCTCCAGGGTGCTGACCCGCCTGCGGCCTGAGGGTCGGCAGCTTCGCATGCCCCTGAGCTCAGCCCAGAGCGGGGAGTTCCTCCTTCCCTGGCCGGCCCTGCACTGTGCCTCCTGCTTCTCTCTGACACGGCCGGCATGCTTTCTTCCTGAGCACACCCACGTCTAAGATCCACGGCCTGGCCCCTCACGGCCCAGTGGTCCTGGAGCAAGTCGGGGCTCTGGGGACAGGTGTCTGAGGCCGGGCCTCGGCAGGGCCCTGGTCCGCAGTCACAGCCCCAGGCCTCGGCAGGGCCCTGGCCCGCAGTCACAGCCCTGGGTCAGGAGTCCGAGGCTGGGCCTCGGCAGGGCCCTGGCCCGCAGTCGCAGCCCTGGGTCAGGAGTCCGAGGCCGGGCCTCGGCAGGGCCCTGGCCCGCAGTCACAGCCCTGGGTCAGGAGTCCGAGGCCGGGCCTCAGCAGGCCCCTGGTCCGCAGTCGCAGCCCTGGGTCAAGTGTCCGAGGCTGGGCCTCGGCTTGGCGGCCTGCCCCCACCTACCGAGCTCACAGCGCCTGCCTTTGAACCCTGGTCCGCAGTCGCAGCCGTGGGCCTCAGCACCTGGCACGCAGGTCCCTCCGTTGTGACAAGGGTTTTCTGAGCAGTTCTTGGGGGCGTCTGGAAATGGAGGCCTGGGACGTTAGTTGCTGGGAGCCCAGAGGAAGGCCTACAGCTTGTGTCTCTGTGACCTGAGCAGAGTGCCGTGGCTGCCGTGGCTGCCGTGGCCCCTCTCATGGGCTCACAGGGCTCAGGAGACGAGGCCTCAGCATGCCAGTGTCACTTCCAGGGAGTGGGAGGGGAGACCCCGAGCCCGTGGCCCCGGCCCACCTGGCCTCACCCAGCATTTTCCTCCTCTGCTCCTACACAAGCCTGCTTCTGCTTGGAGCCAGGCACTGGCTGGGTTTCCCATCTACTCACAGGGATGCTCCCACCCGGCTCCTCCTGCAACCCCCACACTGGCAGAGGGGAGCAGGCTCCCCCCCACCCCTACAACAGAGGGAGCAGGCTCACCCCCACACCTTATAACAGAGCAGGCACCCCCACACCCCTGCAACAGAGAGAGAGACACCCCACACCCCAACAAGAGAGCAGGCACCGCACACCCCCAGGACAGGGAGTGGGCACCCCCACACCCCAACAACAGCTGGGAGCGTCGCCCCTCGCCGCTACACTGGCCGAGAGCCTTGTCTGTCCATGTCATTTCTTTAGCTGTAGTTTTCCTTTGCAACTTGAGAACACTGAAAAACAGGAGCGAGAACTGTGCGTAGCCTACCACGCCCCACGCCCCACGCCGAGACCTGGCACCCACATGCCCAGGGCCCCTCCTTGCCCGTTCTTCATAAGAACTTCCCCAAGGGCCAGCCCTGCAGGTGTGGGGCCCCATCAGGCCTCACCGCCCCGCCTCTGCCCCTCAGCCCCCCCCACTGTCCCCTGGCTGAATGCGAGCTGTGGGCTCTGAGAAACTTTCTGTGGACGTCCTCAGTGTGCTGGGCAGGTCTGCAGTGCCGCCTGCTGCTCCTGGGGGAGCCCCAGCAGTGTCAGGCGCGCAGCGGGCAGAGGGAAGCCCCAGCGTCTCGATTACCCCGACAGCGCCACGTGCCAGGTCTGCTGTCGCCCGTGGTGACTCCACAGGGCGGAGCTCTGCCGTCGCCCGTGGTGATGCCTCCTGGGTCTCTCAGTCTGTCCCCTTTAGTCTTGGCTGCAGGAGTGACCTGCGCTTCCTGTGGCTCTGAGTGCCTAGAGGACTCGGGTCCACGTGGTCTTTGCAGGGGCTGCTTGGTGGCCTGGAGAGAGGGGCTTGTGTCTCGTTCACCCACACCTGATGGGCCAAGTCCGTCTGAGTGCTGCAGGGACTGACCCCAGCCCAGCAGGGGTCCATCCCTGCAGTCCATCCCTGCAGGCGCCACACCTGACCCTGGGGCAGCCACCGAGACCCCGCCCCCAGCCGCCCCCTGCTGTCATTCCTGCCTTCCCCAGCTGAGGGTCTGCACGGCCCAGGACCCTCACGGCCTGGACGCCCTGGCACGCAGGAACCAGGTTTGAATTCTGTCCTTGTCCACCAGCTCGCAGACAGGGTCGGTCCCTCAGCTCCATTGTTGTCACTAATTTTCCTTTAACATTTTTAAAAAAATTCATACGAGGGGCCAGTGCTGTGGTGCAGCGGGTGAAGCCACCGTCTCCAAGTCTGGCATCCCCTGTGGGCACTGGTTCAAGTCCCAGCTGCTCCACTTCTGATCCAGCTCCTGCTAAGGGCCTGGGAAAGCAGAGGAAGATGGCCCAAACCCATGAGCCCCTGCACCCACGGGGGAGACCCGGATGGAGTCCCAGGTGCCTGGCTTCAGCCTGCTCCAGCCTTGGCTGTTGCAGCCATTTGGGGAATGAACCAGGATGGAAGATCTCTCTCTGTCTCTCTCTATCTCCCCACCGCCACCATCTCTCTGTAACTCTGCTTTTCAAACAAATAAATCTTTAAAAAATGTTTTATTTGAAAGGGAGAGAGGGGGGGAGGGAGGGAGAGAGGGGGAGGAAAGAATCTTATCTTAGCTGGTTCACTCCCCAAATGACTGCAATGGCCAGCGCTGGGCCAGGCTGAAGCCAGGAACTTGGAGCTCCGTCCTGGTTTCTCACGTAGGTGCCAGGGACTCAAGTCCTTGACCCATCCCTGCTGCCTCCAGGCACGTCAGCAGGGAGCTGGCTTGGAAGTGGAGGAGCTGGGACTCAACCAGGCCGTGCTGTGTGGCCTGCGGATGTGTCGGGTGGTGCAGCCTGGTGCACGGCGCCCACCCTGGATGTCCGCCAGCAGCTTGGCTCCTGGTCCCTTGAGACCCGACCCCAGTTGAATCTGAAAGCTGCTTTTGTACACAGCAGGTTCTGGGCTGGCGCTGTCTGTGTCTTGCTCCTGTCTCTGAGTCACGCAGTTCTCCAAGGCTCCTGGCTCCCTCCGTGCAGAAGGTACCTGGAGCCCACAGCTGGGCAGTCACGGTGCTCACTACTACTGGGTGTGAGGCTTTCTAAAAATAAACATAAATGATGCGTTTACACCAGCATTTCCAGTTCAAATTAACAGAACGACATTTAGGGCCAGCGCTGTAAGCTGCTGTTTGAGTCCCGGCTGCTCCACTTCCAATCCAGCTCCCTGCTAATGGCCTGCGAGGCAGTGGAAGATGCCCGAGTGCTGGGGCCCCTGCGCCCACGTGGGAGACCTGGATGGAGCTCCCGGGTCCTGGCTGCGGCAGGACCCAGATCCGGCCGTGGCAGCCATTTGCGGAGTGGACCAGCGGATGGAAGGTGTCTCTGTGTCTGCCTCCCTCCCTCCCTCTCTAGTGCTTTGCCTTTCAAATACGTACTTTTTTCAAAAATGTTTAAAAACCAAATTAGAAAAAAACAGGATTTTAGACTTCTTTGCTTTATGATTTTATTTCTTTTTTCTGAAAATCTCAGTGCAGCTCGCGAGCGCCAGCACCAGGGCCACGGCCGGCGCTGCCCGCGGAGTGCGGCTCCTGCTGCGTGTGGGCTCCTGACCCCGACCCTTCCCTCGGGCGCGGCGTCACCGTGGTCTGCTTTGTCCCCGTGTGGCCGTGCCATCAGCGGGAGCAGCGGTCGTTTTTTTCTGTTTGTTTTCAATTTGGAGCATTATTGTTTTAGGAACATTTTGTTGGTTCCAAAGACAAAATTGTAAGTCAAGGTTTATTCAGAGTAGCTCCGGGTCGATCTTCATTGCCAGGCCTCTGTCTCCTTCCTCGAATGCTTGACCGTTTTTATTGTTTTAAATAAAGAACGAGGAAGCACACCGATGCCGCCCGTCCTCGTCCTCCACAGGAGGCGGCAGGTCGGAAACACCGCGTCTCATCTCCAAAGCCAGCTTTACCGAGAAAGATCTGAGGGCCACAGGTGCACCCGCTTAGAGTGTGCTCACTGCCCTCCGCGCGCACAGGTCCCTGCCTCCGTCCCCCGGCCGGCCCGGCCCTCGGCGCTGAGCAGACCAGGCGCGGCCCTCCTGCCCCTGGTCCCTGTGACGGGCGCTCTGAGCGGGTGGCAGGCTTCCTCTCTGGACGAGGCCCGTCTCCTTCTGTGGACGGCTGTGGGCGGTGTTCACAGCGCCGCCGCAGGTAAGACCTCGTGGGACACACACTGCCCTTCCCTGGGCCACGTGGGCACCGCCAAGCTGCTGTTCCGCCCAGAGCCGCTGTGCCACGCCCGTCGCTGTCCACACGCCCTCCCCGCCCTCCCCGGGGCCTGCCGCTCTCTGGCCTCCTGAGCGGCCCTCCCAGGCGCGTGCGGCCGCCTCTCACCGCAGCTCGGTCTGCGCCCGCTGCCGGGTGGGTCCTCCGGAGAAAGCCCGATTCGAGGTCAGGTCACCGCCTTTTCATCATTCTGCTGTCGAGTGCAGGTCCCAGCCCTCGTCACCTGCGAGGCTGGCAGGGCCCCTCCTGCCCTGCAGGCCCCCTCTTCACTGCCCGGGCGGTATCTGCAAAGCACAGAGCCTTGGGTTTTGATGAAGTCCAAGTTGGCCGTTTCTCGCTTGTTGCTCCTATTTTTGGTGTCGTAGCGCGTGATTCTATGCCAAATCCGAGGCCGTGAGGTTCACGCCCACGTTTTCTTCTGAGAGCTTGGATTCTGCCTCCTGCATGGTCCTAGCACCACGTGACGAGACGCTTCTTCCCCCGACTGGTCTTGGCAGCCTTGTTGAGATCAGTAGGTTTCTGGCCCCGAGCTCTGTTCCATCGACTCGGTCAGCATTGCTGTGTAGTGGTTTTGCCACGGGGGAGCGTGGGTCCTGCTACCGTGTCCTCTCTGTGTGGACAGCACCCCATAGAACAGGGTAGCGCACAGTGTGTTTGGAATCCATGGGCTTGTTCCACAAAGGTCAAATACATATCTTATCGCTCCAGGAATGAGTAATCAGGGTTTTGCGAGAGACCATTTACAATAGCATCCAACTAAGTTCCAAGAATTAGTCTGCATTCCATGTCAAACCACCAGAAAACATAGAGTGAGTTATTCCTGCAAAACCAAGCCTTGGGGACACCATGGGTTAGCCGCATCTCATGACCCCTGCCACAGCGAGTGCAAACTGGTGTCACCATTAGGCGATGGCTCCTCGCCCGTCTCTTGTCACCTGGGGCCAGCATTTCCACCCTCACACCCGCACCAGCAGCCCCGTGCTGCAAACCAGCCCTCTGCTGCCATGAGCCAGGGAGACCTGTGGTCGCTGCCCTCAGAGTGCGCGTGAGCAGCTGCCTCCACGCCAGCCCGGGGCCACCTGGCACTCGGGCACCGAGTGAGAACACACGTCAGACTGCGCAAGGCAAGCAGCTTGCGCTGCAAAGACAGCCCACCTGTTGTCGAGGTGCACACGTGCGCGACAGAGCACACCTCCCACCACCCACTCTAGGGCACAGGAGCTACACGCACGCCATCCAGATCACGGCCCGCTGCAGGGAGACCCGTGGGATGCCCACGACACACGCCACCATTCACCGCCTGGGGCACGCCTCGGCACGGACCACTCTCAGGCTAGGAAGCTGGGGGGAGGGGGTGGACCAGGCACCCAGGGTCACCCTGTCCTTTTACCCAGGTCTGCCTGGCTGTGTTGGAGAGACTGCCCAGCTCCGCCCCCGGAGCCGCCACCCTGGGCCCCACTGCCTCTCACTTCTGGGTAGAGGGGCGAGTTGGGTCCAGATGGGGGGGTCTCTGGACTTACTCTCGGCATCCTTGCTGCTGGTCTCGGGGAGCTGGAGGGCCAGGCGGACCTGCTCCAAGGCCTCCTCTGTGCTCGCGAGTGGCGCCGGGGTGCTGGGTTCTAGGGAGAGCCAGACTGTGGGCACGGGCGCACAGCTTCACGGGGCCCAGGGCCGCCCACCTGCTCCTCAGCTGCTGCTACCTCCAGCTGCAGGGGTGTCCCTCGTGGGGCCTGGCCTTTAGCTTGGTGGTGCGGGGTGCCCCCATAGCTGTTGGTTCCTGTGGCCACTGCACTGCCTCCCATGGGAAGCCCACCCCGCCCTGCTCTTGCCGGCCAGGCCCCACCAGAGGGGGAGGCCCGGGTTACACGTGCCTCCCTCTGTAGCTCAGCCTGCCGCCCCCTTCTCCCTCCACCCTTGCCCCCTGGGAGCCATGCTGGCCCCCCCCCCCGCGACAGCCTGTGCTTTTGGGTATTTTTACCTGTTCTTGTAGCTGCACCTGCCACGAACCCGGTGCGCCCCAAGTCTCACCTTGCCCCAGACGCCTTGCCTTGCCTCTGCTTCCTGCCCACCCCACGGCGGGGGCCCCTCTGCTGCGCCCTCGCTGGCTCCCCGGGAGTACACGCTGCTCCCAGGACGTTCCCACCACAGCTCCTCATCCCTCTCCCCGCTGCACACCTTTGCCCCCAACCCTCCCCCCCACCCCGGCGCTGGGAACGCTGTCACTAAGCTGGAGGGTAGCCTTTCTCTGGGGGTCCCAGAAGGGTGGGCTCCAAGCCTTTCAGGTCTCCAGGCTCCAGTGCTGGGGTGGGCGGGGTGACCAGGCTGGGGCAGGGCAGGGTGGCCCATCTGCCTTGGTGCTACCAGCTCCACCTTGCCAGGTGCAGTGACAGGTGGCTCGTGCCCTGTGAGCGGGTCCAGCTGGGAGGCTGGGGACCTGCTCCAGGGACCCTGCTGGCCTGGGCCTGAGCAGGACGGAGGGCAGAACACGCCCTCTAAAGCGTTGGAGGTGGGTTTCGCCCTGAGGCTCTGGGCGGGGCTGTGCCGCTGGCCCCACGACCACACGTGGAGCAGCCTCTGCCGTGTGCAGAACAGTGCTGAGTGGCAGGCAAGCTCCCAGAATGCATCGGGTCCTTCTTTAACAACATTTTATTTTTGTCTTCACTCCACTTGCTCCTGAGGGAAAGGCCCCTTGCGCCTGTCCCCTGCTGTGGGCCTGTGCCGACCCGGAGCCCAGAGCCTCACTCCCAGCTGCAGTGTTGGGCCCGGGTCTCAAGGGCCTGGCCCCTCCCCATGTTGGGCCAGGGGCTGGGTGAGCATGGCAGAGGCCACCGAGGGGGCGTCGGGGGCGCAGCACTCACCAGGTTTCTCGGGGACAGGTCTGCTGGGCGAGCCCCCGAACCTGGCGCTCACTCGTCCTCTGCCGTCCACGAGCTCCGAGAACCTGCAGAGAGGCTGGGTCGTCACACAGCCAGGCCCCACTTCAGGGCGACAGAGCCTCGGGCCTGGGCGTGTACCTGGGGGGCTGGGTGGGCGTCTTGAGGGCGCCGTGGTCACTGAGTAGCCGTAGCTCCGACAGCTGCAGGGGGGGTGGCCTGTTTCTGAGCACCCGTGGGTGGTGTCCTCCCTGGGGCCAGCGTCTGTCGGGGCCATCCCTGGGCGCTGCGAAGCAGGTGGGAGGCAGGGGAGTGGCCACAGGGCTGGCCCTGCTGCGCGGGGGACACAGCAGGTGTGGAGCCCCTGCCCCTTGCCGGCCGCCCACCACGGCCCTCCTGAGGAGCTGTGTGTGGACAGACACGAGCCGGCCTGGGGTCTTGAGGTGGGCCCAGCAGCCCCTCACCTGGGTGCCCGTCTGCAGGTGGGGCCAGGCATTTAGGGCTGTGGCAGGGACTCTGCAGCTCTGCTCACCAGAGAGCCTTCTGGGTGCCCCCGCCCCACCCATGAGCCCCCTTCACTCTGTCCCCTCACCTCGCTCACTCGGTTGTACCTGACCAATCAGGGGCCCACAGGGAGGCCCCGCCCACCGCTCGCTCCTGTGTGGGGGGGTGTGGGTGTGGGGGCTGGGAACAAGTGGGAGCATGAGGAGAACAGGAAAGGCTGGGTCTGGTGGGAGCCTCCCCCGACCTGGGGCCACCCTGCCCTGCCCCGACCTGGGGCCACCCTGCCCTGCCCCGGCTTGGCCTGGGGCCACCCTGCCCTCCCCCGACCTGGGGCCACCCTGCCCTGCCCCGGCTTGGCCTGGGGCCACCCTGCCCTGCCCCGGCTTGGCCTGGGGCCACCCTGCCCTGCCCCGGCTCCGCCTTGCCCTGCTGGGGCCCTCCCTCCCCATCCTTGCACCCCACTCCTGCACGGCCCGGACAAAGCCTCTCCCCAGCGCTGCGTGAGCTTTGAGGTTCAGGGAGCCGGCAGCGTCCCTCTGCCCTTGGGATAGGCCGGGTCCTTTGCAGGCCCGGCTGGAGCCGCCCTGTGTGTCTTCCTGACCTCCTGGAGAACCCCTCCTGAGGCCTCCTGGCCCCGTCTCCCGCGCCAGCCCTGGTGGGTGGTGCTCCCTTCAGGGCCACGCCCACCCTCCTTGGGGCCCGCTGAAGGCCCAGTGGGGCCCTGCGCTCTCACTCGGGGCTGCCCCCCGTGTTAACACAAGGCCTGTGGTTGGCTGTCCATGCCCTGTGGGCAGCATGGCCCACGCCAGGTGAGGGTCCCAGGAAACCCCTCTCTTCAGGACGAGGCCACCGCCTCCCTCAGAGAGCAGCCGGGCTGGCACCCTGCAGTCGCCTGCCAGCCCTCGGCACGGCCGGGCCAGCACTCACAGGTGACGATGTAGAGGTGCGCAGGGTCGCTGTGCAGCGGGCCCTGCTCTGAGCTCTGCACGGCCGTCACGGAGAGCTGGTGCCGCCGCCCGGGCAGGAGGTCCCGCACCGTGTACGACGTCAGCTTCCCGCTGGGGACGTAGCGGCTCTTGGTGCTCTGGCTGGTGGTCACGTTGATGACGTAGGCCTCCAGCGAGGCGCCTGCCGTGTGGGCGTCCCAGACCAGGTGGGCGGAGGTGGCCGTGACCCGGGAGGCGGTCAGGTTTGCTGGAGGCAGGGGCCCTGGACAGGCATGTGGTGGGGGAGGGGAAGAGCAGGACACAGGGCACCTGATGCAGGCAGCAGAGGCCCAGCAGCAGGGGCTGCGTCACTGCCCTGGCCTCGGTCCCGCTCGTCCTGTGGGGCCCACAGGTCCTCAGCCTCGTACCCTGGGACCTCACATCCAGTCCCCAGCCCCCGAGCCTGACTGCACACCGTCCCCAGGACCTGGGCGAGGCGCCCGGTGCCAGGCCCCTGCCCCATGGGCCTTCCTCCCCCATGTGCCTCGCCCAGGTGTGCCCTGCCCATGGGCTCAGCTCCTGTCTAAGCCTCCACTTCTCACAGATCCACCTGCACCTCCCCTGTGCACTGGCCTCAGGGCCCTGTCCACTTGCTGGGGAGGGGCAGGGGCCGGAACCCCAGTGAGTCAGCCGGAGTGGACTGCTCCATGGTCTGAGGGCCTGGACGGGTGGGCATCCTCGCCCAGCCGCTCCGGAGCCTCTTGGTCGATGTTTGGCAGGAGGCCGTGGGGGAGCTGCCTGGAGCCTTGGGGTGTCCCTAGCAGGCCAGTCTGGGGAGCCCGGGGCTGGCATTCTGGCACCGTGGACGTGGTAGGGGACGGAGGGCTCTAGAGCCAGGCCCTGCTGCTCTACTCACGGGTCCACACGTGCACCGGTGCCGAGGCCAGGCTCTCGGTGGGGGGCTCCTCTCCGCTGGGCCCACTGAGAGCGGTCACCTGGACAGTGTATCTCCTCCCGGGCAGCAGAGCCCTGTGGGGGTGGAGGGAGCGCACTGAGAGTCGGGCCTGGGCCAGCTCCGCTGTCAGACCACGGCTCCCTGAGCAGGGTGTGGCCGGGCGGGGTCCAGGCGGCCTGCTGGGGCAGAGCGGGGCCCTCAGCCTGTGCTCCTTGGAGTCATTCTTCGAAAGTGGCTGGGATGTAAACCCAGAGCTGCAGCCGCGGTTCAAAGACAGAGTAGAGGATCTGGGAAGCGGCAGGGCGATGCTCACTGCACCCTCAGTCGGCTGAGGGTTGCTCGGGACTCCCCCGGAGCCTTGGGGAGAGGAAGGCTGGGGTTGCACAGCAGGGAGCTGTCCGTCAGTTCAGCTCCTGCCTCCCGCCCCGCCCTGGGCGGCCTGCACTCAGCTTGCAGGAGCCGGGGTGGGCCGCAGAGCCCCAGCACAGAGCTGCGGGCACAGCAGGGCTGCTGTACTGTGGCTGTGCCGCCCCACCTCCAGGAGTCCGGAGGGCTGGTCCCCTCCTCCTGCCAGCACTGCCTGCCTGCTCCAAGCAGGAGCCCAGAACTTCCTCTGGTTGGCACCCCCCCTGCAGGGTCCATCCTGGGGCCCTGGACGAACCCTGGGCCCTGCCCGTCGCCACCGCCCACCACGCCCCCGGGCACCTTCCGTCAGTGCTGTCAAGGCCCCTGTCCCCCTCACCCCCATGGGGGAAGCCAAGTGGACAGTGGGGACCCCCCACCCCCACCCTGCCCCCGGCTCCTCCTCTTACCCGAATGTGAGCCTGTCCACGCTCCTGTCCACCTCAGTGGCCTGCGCCTCAGAGGCCCCGGGGTGCTGGATGGACACTCGTACCCTGCTGACGCTGGCGTGATGCACCGGGGGCAGCGCCCAGCGCACTGAGATGGCACTGGCCGTCACGTTGGTGACCTCGAGGCCCTCGACAGGGCGGGGTCCTGGGGGACAGCGGCTGCTCAGCACAAGCTGGCACCTCCTCCGGCAGGCAGGCAGTCACAGGGCAGCCCCCAGCCCCAGTGTAGCTGTGGCAGCGACGTGCTGGGGACAGGGCCCTTCCTGAGACAGGCCGGCCAGGCCACCCCTCTCTGTGCTGGCTGTGCCAGCTTCATACGGGTGTGGGCTGGGCAGTGCTGGACCTGGAGGGGTGGGGGCTTCAGGGGGTGCTCAGTGACCCCAGGGAGGGGGACTGCTGCGGGGCTGGGTAGGGGCCACCCCCAGACCAAGGGAGGCTGCAGGGCAGCCCTCGGCTCTCCATGGCACAGTGCCCCAGCCTGGATGGCGGTCCCTCCCCCAGCCAGTCCCCCTGCTTCCTTCTGACCCCTTCCAGGGTGGGCTCAGTGCCCCTGCTCCTCCGCTCCCACTGCCCCCGAGTGTGGCCCAGCCTCCCGCTGGCTGGGGGTGCTGGGTGTCAGGTGGCCTTGCCCCTGTCCCCTTCGGCCTGAGAGGTCTGCGTGGACTCCACTGAGCGGGCTCTGCTATCCTGAGGTCCTCCTCCCGGCCCTCTTGGCCCCCGACGTGCTCAGCGTGGACACGCGGCAGCTCCTGTTTGCTGCACCACATGCCTGTTCGATCCCCCGGGGAGGGCCCGCCGACTGCGCTGCTGCTTCCCCGGCCTCAGTGCCGGCACCTTGACTCCTTCCTCGTCCCCTCTGCCCTGCCCCCGCTCCACCGGTCACTCCTTCCAGCCCTGGCGGACGTGAGCTGGGCTCTGCTCCCACGGGGCCAGCTCGCTGTCCGCCCACGGCCTGTGCTGGGGTTCTCTCCCCCACTCCCTTCCTGTCCCACCACTGTCCACACCCCTTGCCTCCCCCCTGTCTCCTCTCACGGTCCCTGTGGCCAAGGCCTCATCCCTCACTACTCTGTCCTGTTAGAGCCACTGCCGCTGGCCTCTGGGGCCCTCCTCGCCAGTCCCCGGGCTCCTGGCCCATTCCCCCCTCGGCCCAGACCCTGGTTCTGAGTCACATCTGGCTCTGGCTTCAGTGGCTACTGTGAAGAGCTGGACTCTGGGTGTGGGACGCGAGGCCGCGCCCCGAGAGCTGCTCCAGTGATGGCCACGCCCCGAGCCCCGCCCCCGAGGCCCAGGCCTCAGCTGGGGCTTTTGCTTGAGGCCCTGCGGCGTGGATCCTGCCGCGTGCCCACTGCTCGGGACCCTCCGCCCCCGGGCCTGCTGTCCTCTGCGGGCTCCTCCCTCCCGGCCTCTCCGTCCTTTCCGCTGAGCCCCAGGCAAGGCCTCTCTGCGACACTCACGCGTGCGGGCCAGCAGCACGGCGGGCCGGCTGATGTCGTTCTTGTTGTTGGTGTTTCGCTTGACTGAGAAGACGGAGATGTTGTAGGCTCGGCCCGCGGCCAGGGCCCGGAGCTGGTGTGAGGAGCGGCGCCTGTCCACGAAGTCCGTGCGGCGGGAGGAGCCGTCGGCCAGGGCGTAGGTGACCGCGTAGCCGTCCAGCATCTGCCTGGCGGCTGAGCCCTCGGGGGGGCTCCAGGAAATGGAGACCCCACTCTCTTCTACTCTGTCTACCTTGAGGGCCGTCGGTGGGAACAGCTCTTCGGTGTTCCATCAAAACACAGAGGAAGGGGGCGGTCAGCTGTCGGCCACGGAAGCCCCCGCTCCGGGCACGTCTCGCCCGGGCCCGGCCTCTGGGACCTGCAGCCGAGCAGCGCGGACAGGGAGCTCCCGCCTGCCCCTCACCCCCTGCCCCCAGCACTGCTTCTCGGGTAAGGAGCCGGGCGAGCAGCGACCTGCGTCCCCCACCGCGGGCCCCCTGCGGCCTCACCCTTGGCGCAGTCCTGGCCCGTGTAGCCCACTTTGCAGGTGCAGCTGTAGGACCTGTTGCTGGCCAGGCAGTAGCCGCGGCCCCCGCAGGGGCTGGAGAAGCAGGGGTCACTCGCTGAGGGGAGGGGTAGCAGCAGTGAGCACGGGCCTCGCAGGCTGCCCGCTCGGGCAGGCCTTGCTCCTGGGGTGCTGGGCCCTTCCTGTGTGGTGGAGGTGCTGACGACTCCCACCAGCCCCTCCACTCCACACAGGACCCTCAGCCCAGACGGCTCAGGCACCCCCACAGCACCGGCCGGGACACGGGGTCAGTTGACCAGGGGAGAGGTGGTTCCAGAGAGCGGCTGGCACTGGGGGTGATGGGTGGGGCTCCCCTGCAGGCCAGTGGTTAGCAGGCCTCATCCCAAGTCCCCCTGAGGCTGACAGGGGACAGTGCTCGGGGGTGGGGGGCAGGGGGAGCAGGTGCGACATGGGGATATGTGGAGCTTGGCCTGTCCGGGGACAGCAAGCCTGTGGGGGCAGTCCTGCGGCTGTGGTCTGGGCGCAAGCTGCTGGGAGGGTGAGCACAGTACGGTCACGGGGACCAAGCAGACTGGAGAGGGCCACTGGCCCTGAGAGGGACGGCCCCGCCCCTACCTGTCTCGCAGTGGTAGCCGAAGAAGCCTTCGGGGCAGACGCACAGGTAGGCCCCAGCGCCGTTCTCACAGCGCCCTCCGTGCTGGCAGGGGCTGGGGGCACAGGCGTCCACCTCTGCAGAACACCCAGAGGGTCGGCCCGGCCGCAAGGGGGCAGTCTGGGGGCAGGAGGAAGGGCAGGGAGAGGCCAGCGGGGCAGTGGGCCGGCCTCCCAGCCTGCGGCGCCTCCACCAGGAGGCCTGTCCAGCAGGGCACCAGGAACCTGCACCCCGCTCGGACCTCCGACCCAGGCTTCGCACTGGGGACCCCTACCTGTCTCACAGTGGACTCCCGTAAAGCCTGCCGGGCACTGGCAGAGGAAGGCCCCGGGGAGGTCCCTGCAGGAGCCGCCGTTTGTACAGGGCTGGGCTCGGCACTCGTCCGCGTCTGCACAGGGAGGTGGCGCTGGCTCAGGGGCACAGGCACCCCCACTGGTCCTGCGTGACATCGCCCCCCCCACCGGCCACCAGCCCACACGTGCCCCCCCAAGGCAGGCAGACCCCCACCCCGGCCACTGCCATGCTGTAAGCCGCAAGGCTTCCCTAGACCACCACTGGACGCGGCTTCCAGCCATGTCCTCCTGGGGACCAGCCCCTCTGCCTCAGGGCGGTGAGCCTGCAAAGGCACGGGCGGGGGAGGGGGGCAAAGCCGCTGGCAGCACTGGGCCTGCAGTCAGAGGCTGGGACCAGGCTTCTCTGCCTAGCCCCCTCCACCTCCGAGCCAGAACCCTCAGTCCTGGACGTGAGAGCCTGCATGGGCTTGAGGGAGCAAGCACTGGGCAACCTGGCTGTCCAGGCGCGTGTCTGGGAGGGCGTGCCCAGTGTCCCCGGGTCACCTTACCCAGTTCGCAGTGGATGCCCTCGTACCCTCTGGTGCAGAGGCACAGGTAGCCGGCGATGCGGTCCTGGCAGGAGCCCCCGTGCAGGCACGGCTGGGACTGGCACTCGTCGATTTCTGAGACCAAGAACAAAGCGGTGTGTCTCTTACTAAGCCACATTGGGACGGGCACGCGAGCCGCACAGGAGTCTCCCGTGTCCACTCGGGACTTGGAGAAGCCGGAACCCAGGGCTGAGCCTCTGGAGGGGAGGGAGGGCAGCAGCGGTGCAGGGACGCCGTGGGAATTCACGGCACCGGCTCTGAGGCGGGCAGGAAGCCTCTGACAGCTGCGCTCGGCATTGTGGGGCCTGACAGCCATGTTTGCAGGGGTGCGTCTGGGGGCCGATCTTCAGTCTCAAAAGACTCAGCACAGGGTTATTCTAAACTGGGGCTGTGCTCCTGAACTTAGAGAGTAATTGCAGGAGAGTGGAATGCACCAAGTGTGAGGCTGACAGGGCCTGGCGCTCGCCTGCCCCTTCCCTGCGGGCACCTGCCCCACAGCGATTCCTTCGTCTCCTCACAAGCAGGGTTAAAAACGGAGCGAGCGGCTGAGCGACACAGGGCTTCATCCTGGCTGTGACGAGCCTTCCCGGACACGGCGGTGGGGGCTGGCTCAGTCCCCGTGAACGAGGGGCGCCCCGGGGTCTGCCACACGCACCTCCACTTGCTCAGGGGGCGGGGGGCAGGTTCTGGAATGTTTGCTACTACAGAACGTGCTGCTGTGTGCATTCTTCCTTTTTTTAAAAATTTTATTTGACAGGCAGAGTGGACAGTGAGAGAGAGAGACAGAGAGAAAGGTCTTCCTTCCGTTGGTTCACCCCCCAAATGGCCACCACGGCTGATGCTGCACCAGTCTGAAGCCAGGAGCCAGGAGCTTCCTCCTGGTCTCCTACGTGGGTGCAGGCACCCAAGCACCTGGGCCTTCCTCCACTGCCTTCCCACAGCAGAGAGCTGGCCTGGAAGAGGAGCAATCGGGACTAGAACCGGCGCCCATATGGGATGCCGGCGCTGCAGGTGGAGGATTAGCCAAGTGCGCCACGGCGCCGGCCCGTGCATTCTTCCTTGTGCACGTTTTCCTCAGGCTTCTGCCGGGAGTGTGGCTGCGGGACACAGGTTATCACGTGAGCGGCCGGCGCCCCTCAGTCGGGGGTCCAGAATGCCCAGGCCTGCCCGGCTGGAGGCACCTGTCGTGTGTCCATGTGTGCGCCCGAGGGCCGCCCACCCACGCGCTCCTCGCCGGCTGCGCGGCTTCCTCCCCTTCCGACTCACTGGAGCGCTTTGCCGGATCTTCGCCACTGCTGTGCCCGCCTGCTCCTAGTGCCAGCTTTTGTTTCCTCTTCTGCTTCACTGTGTCGGCGGTTAAGCTCCTGATGTTTGCGTGTTCTAATCCGTCCATGCATTTCTTTACAGAGCTTTCTATGGCTTAAGGAATCTTTCTCTCTCCCGAGGTCAGGAAGATATTCAGCTATATTTTCTGTTCACATTTTGTTTTTGTTTTTGTTTTTCTAAAGGAAAGAAGCCACGAACGTTGGTCCGTGAGGCAGTGGTCGCCGTGAGTGGTGAGAAGTGGGGCGAAGCTCCCGGGAATATTCCCTCGCTCCGGTTCTGGCTTTTACGTTTGCCTCTGAGACGGTCCCACGCGTTTGCACGTGCACCGTGTCTGATGCTGCGACACGGTCTGCTTCCCTCCGTTTCCTCGTCCCCGTGGAGACGCGGCTGGCTCTGCACGCCGTCCCCGCTCCCGGGCCTCTTCTCCCGCACTTTGTTCCCCTTCTGTCTCGTGGCCCCACCCGGGGACCCGGCAGGGCGGTGCAGGAACCAGTGAGACGTGGGCCTGGCCTTGTGCTGCCTGCCCTCGCCGGCGTCCTGGGGGCTGTGGGTGTTCTCGGACGCCCTTTATCCACTCCAGGAAGTCACCTCCTGCCCCGTGTACGCAGAGTCTGCGATAAGCGTGGAATCTGACGGCTGCCGTGTGTGCCGAGCGCCGACCTTCGATGCCGGGGCGGCCCGATCGTCCTCCGGACACAGCGCGGAGCGGCAGCGTGTCTGTCTGTGTTCGCCAGGACGGAGGTTTGCAATTTCCTGGCCTGACAGGCGTGCACGGGCCGCACCGCCCCTCCCACACGGGCGCGGGCGCAGTCGGCGGGGCACTGCAGCCATCGGCTCTTGGCAGTGTGGTGAAAGGCACCCTTGAAGTGGGGCGGTGCTCCCTCGTGCAGACTGTGTCAGCCGCGGCTCGTTTCTGGGGGTGGCGACGAGGCCGTGTAGACGGCCTTTGTTAAGTCTTCCTATGGACAGTGCGTCCACTCCTCCCGACTTCACCTCCCGGTGCCTCCGTCAGCTCAGCGGCACAGCCCGCATCCCAGGCCCGGGTTCAAGTCCCAGCTCCACTCCTGGTTCCAGCTTCCTGCTGAGGCAGACCCTCCCGGGGGGCAGCTCAAGGAGCTGGCTTCCTGGCCCTCGCGTGGCTGTCACCAGGCCCTTGTGGGCACTTGGTGAGTGAGCCAGTAGATGGGAATCCTCTCTGCCTCTGTCTCTGTCTTTGAAATCAACAAAATGAATAAAACTTTAGGGGCCAGCGTTGTGGTGTAGCAGGTAAAGCCGCCACCTGCAGCGCCACCACCCCATGTGGGCGCTGGTAGGGGTGGTGGCTGCTCTGCCTCTGATGCACCTCCCTGCTAATGCGCCTGGGAAAGCAGCAGAAGACGGCTCAGGAACGTGGTCCCTCACCACAAGGGAGACCTGGGTGGAACTTGTGGCTCCTGGCCTCAGCCTGGCCCAGGCCCAGCTGTTGTGGTCATGTGGAAGGTGAACCAACAGAGGAAGACCTCTCTCTGTCTCAACTCCGCTTTTCAAATAAATAAAATCTTTAAAAAAAAAAAAAAAAGGTAAATGGGGCCAGCGCTGTGGCACAGTGGGTTAAAGCCCTGGCCTGAAGCACCGGCACCCCATATGGACACCGGTTCTAGTCCCGGCTGCTCCTCTTTCGATCCAGCTCTCTGCTGTGGCCTGGGAAAGCCGTGGAAGATGGCCCAAGTGCTTGGGCCCCTGCACCTGCATAGGAGACTCAGATGAAACTCCTGGCTCCTGGCTTCAGATCGGTGCAGCTCCAGCTGTTGCGGCCAGTTGGAGAGTGAACCATCAGATGGAAGACTCTCTCTCTCTCTCTCTCTCTCTCTCTGCCTCTCCTCTCTCTGTGTAACTCTTTCAAATAAATAAACCTTAAAAAAGAAAAGTAAAAAACTGAAATTTAGCAGTGTATCCTGTTGGCAGTAGTGACTGGCTTCTTGTGTGTGGCCCGGTGGACGAGTTAGCTCAGGCGCTCTCCCGGTCTTTCCTCTCCCGGCCAGTGGTTTGGCTCTAACTGCTCCGGGAGAAGCGGCTCAAAGCCCCCCAGGGTGAAGGCCCAGGGAGCCGGCGCGCGCCCCCAGCGTTGCTTCTGTGTGTGCAGGGGCTGGGTCAGAGCCGCTGCCTCGCGCGGGGAGCTAACCAGCTGCCTCTCAGCTCGGGCTCCGCACGGCCCGACCTGTGTCCGCCTGGTGCTGTTCCTGACACTGTTCTGAGACCGGGCGTCGTGCGTGGCAGAGTGTCTCAGACGGCAGGGCTTGTTCCGTGGGGCGCCCACGATGTTTCCCGCGGCGTCTGGGCCGCTTGTGCCTGCTGTATTTTTTCTACCATAATTCTTTCTAATCAGTATCTGTGGTGAGCTGTGCTGGAGGTGGGATGTTCTCACATTTTACCACGGGCTCTGCGGGCTCTGCAGCCCTTCACCGTGTCCGCGGCAGCAGTCCTGGGGATTAACACCCGGTGCTCCAGCGTCCACTCGTGGTCTTTTTGGCCTTCTCTCCTTTTTGGTTTAAAGATTTATTTATTTATTTATTTATTTTGAGAGGCAGAGTTACAGAGAGGGGGAGAGACAGAGACAGAGGTCTTCCATCCTCGGGTTCACTCCCCAGATGGCTGCAACAGCCGGACCTAGGTTGATCGAAGCCAGGAGCCAGGAGCTTCTTCCGGGCCTCCCACATGGGTGTGGAGGCCCAAGGACCTGGGCCATCTTCTACTGCTTTCCCAGGCCACAGCATGGAGCTGGATCGGAACTGGAGCAGCCGGGACTCAAACCAGTGCCCATATGGGGTGCCGGCCCGCAGGCAGAAGCTGAACCCCCCGGCCCCACCCTCCGCTGTTGTCGCCTGTTGTCTCAGTGTTGGCCCCTGCGCTGGCTTCTTTCTGGGGACTTCAAAGCGACCCTTCAGCTCACCGATCAGTGTTCATCTCTATCTGTTTCTAAACTCTGCTGTCTCAATTAGTACAGTTCCGGATCTTCTTTCCACTCGCATTTTTAATGATTTGCTGATCCTGTTTACAGGAGCAATGTCATGTTCACTTTTATTTGTCATTTTATACTGTTTCATATAAAATACTGTGATTGTTTTATATTGTAGCAGTGGATGTCGTCTGGACTTTAATTATCTTTTTTTTTTTTTCAGGTGGCTGTACTCCCCGCTGTCCTCTCTCTCTCTCTCACTCTCTCTCTCTCTGAGTGGCTGTACTCCCGCTGTCCTCTCTCTCTCTCTCTGAGTGGCTATACTCCCCGCTGTCCTCTCTCTCTCTCTCTGAGTGGCTGTCCTCTCTCTCTCTCTCTCTCTCTCTCTCTCTCTGAGTGGCTGTACTCCCGCTGTCCTCTCTCTCTCTCTCTGAGTGGCTATACTCCCCGCTGTCCTCTCTCTCTCTCTCTGAGTGGCTGTCCTCTCTCTCTCTCTCTCTCTCTCTCTCTCTCTGAGTGGCTGTACTCCCGCTGTCCTCTCTCTCTCTCTCTGAGTGGCTGTACTCCCGCTGTCCTCTCTCTCTCTCTCTGAGTGGCTGTACTCCCCGCTGTCCTCTCTCTCTCTCTCTCTCTCTCTCAGTGGCTGTCCTCTCTCTCTCTCTCTGTCTCTGAGTGGCTGTCCTCTCTCTCTCTCTCTCTCTGAGTGGCTGTACTCCCCGCTGTCCTCTCTCTCTCTCTCTCTGAGTGGCTGTACTCCCCGCTGTCCTCTCTCTCTCTCTCTCAGTGGCTGTCCTCTCTCTCTCTCTCTCTCAGTGGCTGTCCTCTCTCTCTCTCTCCCTCTCTCTGAGTGGCTGTACTCCCCGCTGTCCTCTCTCTCTCTCTCTCTCTCTCTCTCTCAGTGGCTGTCCTCTCTCTCTCCCTCTGTCTCTGAGTGGCTGTCCTCTCTCTCTCCCTCTGAGTGGCTGTCCTCTCTCTCTCTCTCTCTCTCTCTCTCTCAGTGGCTGTCCTCTCTCTCTCTCTCTGTCTCTGAGTGGCTGGTCCCAAGCTTTGGCTTAGCCAGTGCTCCTGCAGTTATGTTCCTGGCCCCACATCACCAGAGCTGTGACTGAAGGGGTCAGGACCCCAGCTGCTGGGCACAGATGGGTGGTGCTGAGGCCGTCTCTGGAGCTCCACTCTTCTGTGGCCGCGTTCTAATCTAGGTTCTGATCCCACAGGCCCTCCAGGGTCGTGGTGCGTGTGGGGTTTCCCGTTGTGACGTGGTTCTGATTCCGCACGTCCTCTGTGGCTGTCATGTGTGTGGGTTTCCTGTTCGGATTCTGCAGGTCTGGCTGCGGCCAGGGTAGGACGGGCCGTGAGCTTGGATCTGCCAGGACCCTGCCTTTGGGCTATTGCTTGGCCGTGGCTGCTTCACCTGCGGGGGGTCCTGTGGTGTTTGACCACCCTTGGGTTACTCTGAGGAAGACTCGCTAATGCCCAGAGCCCAGTCGGAGACTGAGGGACCCTGGTGTGGTCACCCACCCCGCCCCCAGGGACCCACAGAATCACCGAGGCACTGGGGAGGCTCACTCCAGACACCTTGCGGCTGGCAGACGCGGGTGAGGCTGGGGGCGCTCAGACTGTAGCCGCGGTCACAGGTGTACAAGGCCACCGAGCCCAGCCTGGTGCCGTTGAGACGCAGGGTCGCGTGCTTCACCTCGTCGGGGGGGCCGCAGTCCACCTCTGCAGGGCACAGCAGCCTGTCCCACACGGTGGGCACCCGTCCAGGCCCAGCACCACCCTCCCCAAGCAGAGGGTGCCTGCTCCTGGGGTCGGCCGTCCTGTAGCTTCCTCCTGGGCCCCGGTGCTGCCCAGCCCGCACGCTGGCCCCCGGACCTCTTACCCGCCTGGCACCGGCGCCCCGTGTACCCTGGCTGGCAGTGGCAGGAGAAGTCTGTGCCCAGGTCCCTGCAGGTGCCCCCGTTCACACATGGGCTCCGGAAGCAGGGGGAGGGGGCTGTGGAGACGAAGAGGGTCACAGTGGCTGCGTCTTCCTGGGGGCTTCCGGGCTGTTTGGGGCCCCAGCCCCCTGCACCAGCTCCGCCTCCACCCCTGCGGGGCCTGCGCCCGCCCTGGCCTGCCCACTCTACCTATCTCACAGTGCCTCCCGGAGAAGCCTGGGGGACAGTCGCACTTGTATTTGCCGATGTAGTGGAAGCAGGTGCCACCGTTGTGACACGGGCCAGAGGCGCACGAGTCTGGCTTCCCTGGAATCACAGGCAGCCAGCAGGGTCAGGGTCACGGCTCACGGCCCTCCCTGGTGCCTCCGCATCCCAGAGCTCGGGGCCCTCGTGGGAATGGTCCTGAGAAGCCACGTGCCGTGGTCGGGTTAGGGGTCGGGGTTCCGCCCCACTCCACCCAGGCTGATGGAGGCTCTGGCTCAGGGCCCCGCGACCCCCGGGGTGCTGGGGGCCCACCGATCTCACAGTGCCTCCCGGTGAAGCGGTAGGGGCAGCTGCACTGGTACTGGCCGCCTGCCTCCTTGCACGTGCCCCCATTCCGGCAGGGCCCCGAGCTGCACAGGTGTGGCCGGGCTGTGTGGAAGCAGACAGAGGCGGTGAGCGGGGTGCACGTCTTCTCGGTCCCTGGGCCTGCGGTCACCAGGGGCAGCTGGGGCACTGCTTCAGAGCGCAGGAAGGCACAGCGCTGCTGGGCCGGGGCCTGCTCCCGGGCACGGGACGGGCCCTGGCGACGCTCCCCGCCCCGTCAGGTTTCACAAGGCCCGCGTTCAGCACCGTGACTCCATCTGGAAAAAGCTGAGCAGGAAATGGAACCTCCAGGGAGGCAAGCAGTGGCAAAAGCAGCAGCGAAAGTGGGAGGAGCTAGGACCAGCGAGCAGCCAACTGCGCGTCAGGCCAGGCCGGGCCAGGGAGACGGCCAGCGGAAGCGAAGAGCCGAGAGCGTGAGTGAGAGGGCGTGCAGGGCGCCCACCCCGCGCCACGCCCTCCCCCGCAGGTGCCCGCCTGCCTTTCTCGCAGTGGCGGCCGTGGAACCCTCGCGGGCACTCGCACGTGTAGGAGTCCTCGTGGGCGTGGCAGGAGCCTCCGTTGAAGCAGGGGTCCGAGTCGCAGGGGGACGGCAGGGCTGGGGGCAGAGGGCGGGCCTGCAGCAGGTGCCACGCCCCAGCGCACCACCAGGGCCACCTGACTTGGGTCCCCCCGGGCTTGAGTCCTCGCGGGGGCAAGGAAGCCGCTTCCCGGGGTTGCCTGATTCTGACTTCACCAGAAAGCGCGGCCCGGGACGAGGCGGCACTGGGCGGGTCGCACTGGGCAGGTCTGGCACGGCCCGCAACGAAGCGGCACTGGGCGGGTCTAGTAGCCTGCTCTACCTGGCGCAGCACCGCCACTGTAAGCATCACCGGTGTGCAGGTGACTGCCCCCCTGTGCCCCGGGTCAATACCATGTACGGGGCCTCCCCCCGCGTGCACGGTATGTGGGGGCCTCGCCCCGTGTGCACGGCGTGTGGGGGCCTCCCCCCGCGTGCACGGTATGTGGGGGCCTCGTCCCGTGTGCACGGTGTGTGGGGGCCTCATCCCGTGTGCACGGAGTGTGGGGGCCTCCCGCCGTGTGCACGGCGTGTGGGGGCCTCTTCCCGCATGCACGGTGTGTGCCTGTCATAGTGCTTTCCCCCGCCGGCCTCGGGAGTGGAGCGGGAGCCGTCAGGCGAGGCTGTGGGGAGAGGCCCCGGCAGGCGCCTGCTTGCTCAGACGACTGCCCCCACCTCGCCCACTGCTCGCTCTGCACACGGGGCCTGCGTGCCGGCTCACTCACGGTGGCTGACGTTGTGGTCGGTGTGGCAGACACAGAGGTAGGTGCCGCCGTACTCCATGCAGTAGCCGCCGTCCGGGCACTGGGTGTTCACGTTGCAGGGCGTGGCTGTGACTTCTGCAGACAAAGGAAGGTGGCGCCGCTGAGCCCAGTCTCCTGAACACTGTGTGAAACCAGCTACAGGCAGGTGTGGGCGTGGCCCGGCCCTGCGCGGAAGGCGTGGGCTGGAAACATCAGTGAATTTGCTGCTTCCTCCTGGTCCCAGCCCCAAGCCACGCGTCCTGCCTGGTTATGGGGGTGCCCTCTCCACTGGCCCTGGCACCTACCAAACTCACAGAGGAGCCCGAAGAACCCCGGGGGGCACTGGCAGAGGGTGGCGTTGGCGCCCAGGCACTGGCCTCCGTTGCGACACTCACAGTCCTCAGGGGTGCCTGCCACAAAGAGAGGTGTGTGGGGCCTCCTGGGGCACTGCCAGGGGCCCCCGCCACCCCAGCTCACAGCCCCCGCTGCCACGCACCTTCCCTGCAGTGCGGCCCCACGAAGCCCTGGGGACACGCGCACACATAGCCCTGCTCCGCACTCACGCAGGTGCCCCCGTTCTGGCAGGGGGCCGAGAGGCAGGCGTCAGGCACCGGGCGGCTTCCTGTGAGGACGGCAGGGGTCAGCAGCGCCCGTGCAGCGCCGGGGCTTCACCTCCGTCTCGGCCAAGTGCGCCTGGAGCCAGATGCTGCTTTCCTGCGGCCCTGCAGCTCAGCTCAGCACCTCCTGCGCCCCTTGGGGTGAGAGGAACGGGGCCCCCGGGGTGCGCCCAGGGCTCACTCCTGACCCAGCATTCCGGGGTCAAATGCCCGGGGCTGCTCAGTTACCTGTCCGTGGCTGACCTCTGGTCTCGTGGTGCCGTGGTTGGAAAACACAGCTTCAAATGTCCTGAGCCCAAGTACAGCCTGGCGTGGTGAGGCCGTGAGCCCTCGAGGAGGGCAAGGGCGGCCTGAGTGGCAGAGGCCAGGCCACGCCCCCGGGGCCTCCCTGCCTCCCTGGGCCTCTGTCCGCCTCGGCCCGTCTCTGTCTCTGAGCCACGTCAGCAGGTGCGCTGGTGGGTGCTGCCGCGTCCTCCCCGTGACCTGAGCACCACAGGCCCTGCCTCACCCGCAAGTATAATCTCCGTCGCATCAGCAGAGCCCCTCCAGCCCCTCAAGTCTGCCGACTTAGCACTTTTTTTTTTTTTTTTTGACAGGCAGAGTGGACAGTGAGAGAGAGAGACAGAGAGAAAGGTCTTCCTTTTGCCGTTGGTTCACCCTCCAATGGCTGCCGCGGCCGGCATGCTGCAGCCGGCGCGCCGCGCTGATCCGATGGCAGGAGCCAGGTGCTTCTCCTGGTCTCCCATGGGGTGCAGGGCCTGAGCACTTGGGCCATCCTCCACTGCACTCCCTGGCCACAGCAGAAAGCTGGCCTGGAAGAGGGGCAACCGGGACAGAATCCGGCACCCCGACCGGGACTAGAACCTGGTGTGCTGGTGCCGCAGGCGGAGGATTAGCCTAGTGAGTCGCGGCGCCGGCTGACTTAGCACTTTAACAAACGTTTAAAACCTACTTATTTATTTGAAAGGCAGAGATACAGAAGGGGGGAGGGGGGAGGGAGAGAGGGAGGGGGGAGAGAGAGAGAGAGGCTTGCATCCGCTGGTTCACTCCCCAAATGCTCACAATGGCCAGGGCTGGGCCAGGCTGAAGCCAGGAGCCGGGAGCTTGTTCTGGGTCTCCCTCGTGGGAGCAGGGCCCAGCTGGGACCGTCTTCCACTGCTGTCCCAGGCCATTCGTGGGGAGCTGGATGGGAAGTGGAGCAGCCGGGACTTGAACCGGCGCCCATGTGGGATGCTGGTGCCACAGCACCGGCCCCCAAATCCTCCTCAACCCTCGGATCTTGGCAGTTTGCCCGCGATCTGGGTCCGAGTCCTCTCGCGTGGAGGAGTCTGGCTGCCGCCCCTACGCACCTGCCCGGTGCCCCCCCTCCCACTTTGCTGCCTGGCGCGGGCGTGCTGGTGCCGCCGCCGCGCCTTCCTCACACCGAACGGCCTTGGTTTCTCGTCGGGCTGTCTGGCCTGGCCTTCTGCGGCGTCTGACCTGCCACTCCCAGGGCACACGCGTGTGTCACGCCTGTAAGTTCTTTTCCAGCAGGCTTCCCCGTCCCATGTTCTCCCGGTGGTCCTGTACACTGAGCGCATCGGTGGCGGGGGAGCAAACCCCGCGCCTGCGGACTCTGCCCTCTGTCCCTTCCGGCGCCTGTGCCTCTGCTCCGCCGTGGCTTAGCGCTTTGTCTACAGCGGATTCTGGGTCCGGTCTGTGACACGCCCAGTGCACTGCTGCTACAGCATGTGGGGTCTGCCGTGTCGCCCGCTTAGCCCTGCGGCGTACCTGACCCAGCGCCACTTCCTTTTCACATTTGCTCTGTGGTCCAGACCAGTGTTGTTCAGCAGGGACCTGACCAGCTCTGGAAGGCTGGCTTCCTGGGAACTCCGCCCACCGTCGGCCCTGGGAGCACCCAGCCCCTCACACTGACTGCCGGGAGAGGCCCGGGGAGCACCCAGCCCCTCACACTGACTGCCGGGAGCAGCCCTGGGAGCACCCAGCCCTCCACACTGACTGCCGGGAGCAGCCCGGGGAGCACCCAGCCCCTCACTCTGACTGCCGGGAGCAGCCCTGGGAGCACCCAGCCCCTCACACTGACCGCCGGGAGCAGCCCTGGGGGCACCCAGCCCCTCACACTGACTGCCGGGAGCAGCCCTGGGGGCACCCAGCCCTCCACACTGACTGCCGGGAGCAGCCCGGGGAGCACCCAGCCCCTCACTCTGACTGCCGGGAGCAGCCCTGGGGGCACCCAGCCCCTCACACTGACTGCCGGGAGCAGCCCTGGGAGCACCCAGCCCCTCCACGCTGGCCGCCTGGAGCAGGTGTCCCAGTCCTGAGCTCTCAGAGCGGCTCGGCTCCCTGGTGTCCAGGGCTCTTCCCCACCACGTGATTTCACCCCGCCCGGGTCGCACAGGGCCTCCCTTGGTCACACCGGGGCCCTTGTCCCCATGTCGGGAGGGCCCTGCTCTCTGCTGCTGTGCCCAGCGGAACTTGACTCTGTCAACTCCGAGGGACAGCTGCACCCTGTCCCGCCGCCCGCACAGGGCCTGGAGCCCTCCTCTCAGGGACAGCCGCCCGTGCTGGCCGACGGCTGACGGCAGGGGCTTCGGAGACTCTGCCTGCTTTGACGCTGTTGGCAGCACAAGAAATTCCTGAAGCTGTCAATTCTTCTTGGCCAGAAGCGAAAGCCCGGACCCTCTTCCTTTGAAATCCGGTTCTTGGCCAACTTCCCGCAGATGTGGCCGGGCCGTCGGTGTCTCCCGCAGGAGCCCGGAGCAGGAGCGGCGTGGGCTCTGCGTCCTGGGACTCGCCCGCCTGCATTACTGCTCTGCACAACGCGCCTGCTTTCTGGGCGGGGCTCTGCAGGGGCCCCCTGGCAAGGCGCCCTGGCCCTGCCACCTGACTCAGGCGCAGGATGTCGCAGGCTCACAGCTCAGAGGGGTCCGTCGTCAGCATCTCCCTGGGGAGAAGCCGTTCCCACTGGGTCCAAAGCCCCCTGACACTAAAGCGCCCACGTGACTGCCTACTGCGGGCGGAGTCTCCAAGAGATCTCAGGACCTCCGTGTGTGGGGAGGCATGGGAACCTTGTCCTCTGTCCCTGCCCAGCCTGGGAGCCCCGCCCTCTGTCCCTGCCCAGCCTGGGAGCCCCGCCCTCTGTCCCTGCCCAGCCTGGGAACCCCGCCCTCTGTCCCTGCCCAGCCTGGGAGCCCCGCCCTCTGTCCCTGCCCAGCCTGGGAGCCCCGCCCTCTGTCCCTGCCCAGCCTGGGAGCCCCGCCCTCTGTCCCTGCCCAGCCTGGGAACCCCGCCCTCTGTCCCTGCCCAGCCTGGGAACCCCGCCCTCTGTCCCTGCCCAGCCTGGGAGCCCCGCCCTCTGTCCCTGCCCGGCCCCGCCTCCAGGGCACTTACCTGTCTCACAGTGGGGTCCCTCGAAGGGCTCTGGGCACACACAGCTGTAGCCCCCGGCCAGGTCCACACAGGAGCCTCCGTTCAGGCATGGGGCGGAACTGCATTCGTCCACGTCTGGGGGCGGCAGAGGCGGGGGCTTGGCCAGCCTGCACCTGGCACTCGGCTGGGGCGAGAGCCCCTCACCCTGGGAGAGCCGCTCACCCGTCTCGCAGGCGGCGCCCGTGTAGCCGGCCGGGCACACACACGCCGCGGAGCCTCCTTCCTCCCGGCACTGTCCCCCGTGCTGACACTCCGCATCCTCACATGGCGATCGGGCTGCAGGCAGAGAGGAGCGGACTGGGCGCTCGCCTGCCCCGTGGCAGCTCCCCCCACAGCGCGCGCGCCAGGCTGGGAGCTGGGCTGGCCAGGGCAGCCCTGTGGCCACTCCACCTGGACTGGGTCTGGGGTCAGCAGGCCTGGGGAAGGGAGGAGGCGTGGGCGCTCCCGTGAGCTGTGAAGGGGAGCTCCACGCAGGATGGGGAGCAGTTGGTACAGGGACCACCTGTGCCCGGGGCCCTGGCCGGCCAGAGTGGGGTGGGCAGGGCCCCTTGACCTGCCCCTGGCCCTCCCTGATCCTGGGGCAGCCAGGAGGAGGGGGAGGGGACATGCCGCCTCCCCCCAGCCACATCACCTGTTTTGCCGTCAGCTCCTTCCAAAACCACCTCAACACAGGGAGCAGGCAGGCAGTGGGGGCCCCGCTCCTTGGCACAGGAAGGAGGGGGTGGTCCCGGGACCCCCAGGAGGTGTGGCAGCGCTGCCCTCTGCCTGACCTGCTCCAGGGTGCGTTCTGTGGGGCCCTGGGGCCTGCACACCCACGCCTGGACACTGCGGGCTCCTGACACACACAGCAGGTGGCCACGGCTGCACCTGAGGGAGTCAGGGCCACCCACGCGGCAAACAGGCTGCAGAACCAGGGCCGCGTCGGCTCCAGGCCTTCTTGGGGGTCACCCTTGGCTGTACTCTGGAACTGGGGCCCTCTGGGAGGCTCCGCCCAACCCAAGTGGTGGCCCTCCAAGGCCATGCTCAGGGTCTCCCACACAGGCCCCACAGGGCTCTTGCCAAGAGGGGGAGAAGACCCTGGGCCCCTGTTTTTCACGGCTGGGAAACCCTATCCCGGCCCTCGTGCGGAGAACTCGTGGGAGAGCTAGGTGGGAGCTGGTGGCCGAGGACAGGCCCCTGTGTGTGGGCTGTGCCCAGCCCTGCTGTCTGTGGCAGGGACCGGGCAAGACCACGCCCCCGAGCCTGCACTGGACAGCTGAGGGGTCCCTGTGGTGACCTCAGCTGAGAGCTTTCACACACACGCCAGCCCACCCTGCCAGCTGGAAGTTCTGCCAGCTCTCCCCACGCTTCCCTGTGGCATTTTACTCCACCATATTTCACGTACAAAGCTCATGCAGGCATTGAACTAAGGTTCCCTCCCGTGGAGACAGTGTGCAGTGCAGCACTCGCCGTGGCCAGCAGCCTCTGAAAGGAGTGGCTTTCGTGGCCTGAGCCATCCACTGGTCACCCTCAGATGATCCACTGGCGCCTGCCAGTCTTTGCTGTGATTGGCACAGGCCATGCCGCGCCCCTGGGGAAGCAGGTCTGGACGAGGGGGCCCTGAGTCTACCTTTCTTCTCCAGGGGGCGCTAACGGCAGATAGCGGGCGTCCCAATCTGAGGGCAGTGGCTTCGAGAGAGCTGGGCTCTTAGCTTCAGAGCCAGGTCTGGGAAGGTGAGTGGGGAGCGCCGTGGACGTGGTTCTCGGCACCGTGGATGTGGTTCTCGGCACCACGGCTGGCACAGGGATGATAGGCTGGGAGCCACCAACCTATTGATCAGCCATGGGACTGAGAATAGAACTGGAGAGGAAGCCAGGGAGGTGTGTGTGTGTGGACATGTGTGTGTGTGAGGACACATGTGTGCTAGGACATGGGTGTATGTGGACACATGTATGTGAAGACATGGTGTGTGTGAGGACGTGTGTGTGTGAGGGAGGACACGTGTGTGTGTGAGGGAGGACACGTGTGTGTGTGGGAGGGAGAACATGATGTGTGTGGACACATGCATGTGTGAGGAAAGACACACATGTGTTGGGGGAGAAGACACGGATGTGTGAGGACACGTGTGTGTGAGGGAGGACACGTGTGTGTGGGGACACGTGTGTGTAAGGGAAAACACGGATGTGTGTGTGAGGGAGGACACGTGTGTGTGTGAGGGAGGACATGTGTGTGAGGAAAGACACAGATGTGTGTGTGAGGGGGAAGACACGGATGTGTGAGGACATGTGTGTGTGAGGGAGGACACAGATGTGTGTGTGTGAGGGAGGACACATGTGTGTGTGTGTGTGTGGGAGGAAGGACATGATGCATGTGGACACGTGTGTGTGTGGGAGGGAAGACACAGATGTGTGTGTGAGGGAGGACATGGATGTGTGTGAGAACATGTGTGTGAGGGAGGACACATGTGTGTGTGTGAGGGAGGACATGATGTGTGTGGACACATGTGTGAGGGAAGACACGGATGTGTGTGTGAGGGAGGACATGTGTGTGTGGGGGGAGGGAGGACATGATGTGTGTGGACACATGTGTGTGTGAGGGAAGACATGGATGTGTGTGTGAGGGAGGACATGTGTGTGGGGGGGAGGGAGGACATGATGTGTGTGGACACGTGTGTGTGTGAGGGAAGACACGGATGTGTGTGTGAGGGAGGACATGTGTGTGTGTGGGGGAGGGAGGACATGATGTGTGTGGACATGTGTGTGTGAGGGAAGACACGGATGTGTGTGTGAGAATATGTGTGTGAGGGAGGACACTGTGTGTGGGGGAGGGAGGACACATGTGTGTGCGTGGGAGGGAGGACATGATGTATGTGTGGACACATGTGTGTGAGGGAAGACACGGATGTGTGAGGACATGTGTGTGATGGAGCACACGTGTGTGTGGGCAGAGGGAGGACACAGAAGTGCAGGGAAAGCTGTGAAGACTGAGGGGCTCTCCCAGGCTGCAGCATGGGGTCTGCACTGCCAGCCACCCCGGCTCGCGGCAGTGAGTCTGATCCCGGCAGCCGGGTTCCTGCACAGCAGCACCCGGCCCTCCACCACGGGTGCTGCCCCTAACCACGTGAGCCCACGGGACCGAGCACAGGTGCAGCTCACGCCAGCTCCGGCTCTGTCACCTGTTGTCTTTCTGTTTGCTGTGAACTTGAGCTGTTCTTCATCCTCTAATTTCCAGAGAACTTGAAAATGTAACTGAGGCTCCCCATGAACACTGTGTGTGTGCAAGCACGCCAACACTGTGGAGCTGGCTGTGCCGGGGAGGGCGGGCAGCCAAGCCCAGGAGCAGCCGGGTCGGGCACAGGCAGATGGGGGATGGTGCCCCTCCTGTGCCCGCATGAACCCATCTGTCCCCAGCAGCACCCACGCTCCTACGCGGCCCCTGCTGCACCTCTGACCCTGACCCTGGCTGTGGTGGAATGAGAAGGCCATGCCAAGATGGCCGCTGACAACAGGCTGTGATTGGTTAGGGCATAGACCGCCCTTTGACTGGATTGGCTGCCTCGGCTATATAAGCTGCTGTACCAACTGAAATAAACGAGTCTGCGGGCTGCTGGCCTCAGGCCTGCTTTCACCGATTCCCGGGGTCTGTGTGGTGACTCCGTGCTTCTTGCCCCCACCACGCTCCTCCTCTCAGAACGAATCCACCTCAACACCTGGCCTGTTCCCAAGCTGCGTCCCTGGTCCAGGCACCACCTGGGCTCCTGTGCCCCCACCACTGTGGACAGGCTCTGGGGCTGTCCTGGACCTCACCCTGGCCCAGCTGTGCATCCGGCCATCCTGTCCCATTAGGGCCCAGGTGAGTCCCTCTTACCTGTCTCACAGGTGAGCCCCCCGAAGCCAGCCGGGCACTGGCAGCTGAAGCTGTTGACCCCGTGGGTGCAGGTCCCGCCGTTCTGACACGGGTGGGAAGCACACTCGTTCACATCTGAAACGGGCGGGCTGGGGCCTCAGTGGAGGACACCAGGCTCCAGGACATGCCAGGAGCTTGGGGGCGAGGTGGGGTGGGGGACAGATGGGGCAGCCAGGGGTGGCAGCCTCACCCACCCAGCATGTCCCCCACGCCCCAGGGACAGGACCCCTCAGGACCCCTGGCTGCCCCTGCGGTACCCCTCCCGTCCCTGGGCGCCCTGGCCCAGTCCCTGGCCGGCACTCACCCAGGTGGCACCTCCGCCCGGTGAAGCCTGCGAGGCAGGAGCAGGTGTAGGAGGGGTTTCCCGTGACACAGTCATCGATGCACCTGCCACCATTGAGGCACGGGCGCAGGGTGAGGCACACGGAGGCTGCGGACAGGAAGGGGCCGGGACTCACTCCCACCTCCCGGACTCGGCAGGACAGCCACTAGAAACGGCCACGTCTCCCTCCCTGCCTGGCCCCAAGGCTGTGCCTGGTGACCACAGCTGGTGCACAGCGGCCACAGGTCTCCAGGTGGAGCCGGGCAGGACTGCGCGGGTTTCCTGGTGACAGTGACCTAAGCTTTGCTCCTGGCCCCGAGCCACCGACACTCACAATGCCCTCGTACCCCCTTACCAGGGCTGGGGAACCATTTTTCTGCTGAGGGCCCCTGGGGTATTTATCACAGTGTTGGGGGCCATACCAAATTCTCACCTTACAAATCAGCCTGCTACGGATCTCCTGGATTCAGCTGCCCCCTCCCTCGGCAGGGCCACAGTGAGTGATTTCACGGGCCTCACACGTTCCCCACCCCGCATCCCAGACCTGCCACGGACACTTCTGGAACTGCGGCTAGCTCCTGGTTCCCTTGGCGTGAGATGAGAGGCGGGCACCCAGCTGTCCATCAGCGCCCCTCAGCCTGCCAGCCAGCTCAGCCTCACAAGGTCAGGCAAGTGGGCTGCCTGGCTCCTGGGAGCATGAGGCTTCTGAAATGCGTGGCCCTAAGTGTCCCAAGGACTCGGGTGGCCTGACCCTGGGAAGGCCCAGGGGACAGCCCTGATTCTGCCCACTCAGCTGCACCATCCCTGTCTGCCTGAGGCTTGCCAGCCTGTGGCAGGCAGTGTCTGTGGCACCCCACTTTCTCGGGAGCGAGACCCCCACGCACTCCCTGCAGGCGTGAGCTGGCCCTCCCTTCTGAGCCAAGGTGGGGCCCTGGAGGCCTTTGCATGCGTGAACACACGGGGCTTCCTCCCCCTCCTCTCAGGGGCCGGACAGTGGCGAGAAGCCTCCACACGGGGATCAGGGCTGGCGGGACCCTCTCCCGCGGGCTCCAGGCTCCCAGCCCCACCTGCACCTTGTGCCTCAGCCACGTGGCGACCTCGGTGCCGCCGGCAGGTGCAGCAGACCACCGGCTGGAGCACGAAGCTGGCCAGGTGAGCCCACAGCCCATGGCGGTCCGCAGGCTGCCCTGCAGCACGCGTCCCCTCCCCACGCGCCGGCTGCCCTCCCTCCCCTAACCCCGTGGCGCGTGCCCATCTAGAGCCCCTCTTCCCCCTCATCCCAGAAGCACGTGTTGGCTGTTGGGGACTCACGGTCGGGGAAAAGCGGCCCCCAGGGGCAAGAGGGGGACTCTGCTGCTCTCCTGGGGGCCCCAGGCTGGGCGGGGCTGGGGGGCCCGCGCCCCCGTCCCCACAGGCGCACAGATATCCCCTCACCCCGGCTGCTCGTGTGCACTGGGCCGGAAGGACCCCTGGGTTTGTCAAACACCAAAGTCTGGAAGCTAAGAGCCTGCTCACAGTGGTCCTGGGGAGTCGCAGGAGGCTGCCTCGCGCCCCGGCCCTGGGCCAGGCAGGAGGACGCGGCGGGCATGCGCGGCGCCCCTGCCCCTCCCCAGCTCCCCGCAGGGCACCCCATCCCGCTCAGCCCCGCGCGCATGCGCACCCGCTCGGGCCTCTTACTTGTATGGCCGCAGCCCCCCACGCGCACCTGGGCATCATCGATTCTGAACGCCCAGCGCCCGGGCACGCCCACGTTGGTGGTGGTCTCCACCTCGGCCATGTCCGCTGTGCGAGAGCCCGGGATGCTGAAGTAGCGCCGCCCATCGCCTGCGTTGAAGCCGGCCTGCGGCGGGGGGCGGGGTGGGGGAGAAGGCGGGGACAGTGCGGGCTGGGCTGGGCTGCGGTTTTCCGCCCGGCCCAATGCATGGGACAGGGCCTGGCAGCCCTGGGGGAGGTGCGGAGGCCTCCACGGGGCCCTGCGGGGGCCACCCACCTCCCAGCAGGGCTCTGACCTCAGCCAGTGGCCCCTTTCGCACCTGCTCATCCCGGCATGGCAGGGGCCCCATTCAGGAGGGGAGTGGGCCTGGCCTAGAGGGTCGGTGCCTGCAGAGAGCTGCACCCCAGGGGCCTGGGCACCAAGTCCCTGGCTTTCTTGCCGGCCACGGCTCCAGGGGCCACTGGCCAGGCCAGACCCCAGGCAGCCGTGCACACAGAACCACTGGGCGATGAGCGGCTTGGGGACACCCTGTCACTGTGGGCTCCTTGCTGGCCTCTGCCTGGGTGTCTGGACTGGAGGGGTGTCTGCCTGTAGTGGGGAGCAAGGCCCCAAGGGGACCAGCCCGCACCTCTTACCTGGGCCGCAATGCCTCCCAAGCCGTTGGCGTCGCCCCCGCTGCTGGCGTGCGTGCCGGTGGTCCACGTGATGGACTCATAGTTGAAGATGGTGAAGGACAACTTGCCGTCGGTGATGAGCACCGTCTGGAAGGTGTTCACCTGCAGGGTGGGGCTGGGTGGGTGTGTGCTCCTGTAGGGGAGGGGCTGGGTAGGGCGTGGGCACCTGGGGGAAGGGGCTAGGTGGGCGTGTGCAGTTGTGGGGGAGGGGCTAGGTGGGTGTGTGCATGAACAAACTGAACTGTGAAGGGGGAAAGGTAAAAAGGAAGCTGGGGGGGTGGGGCGAGTGGAGCCGCCTGGGCCCGGCCTCGGGGCGAGCAGGAGGCCGAGAAAGGACCAACTCCCAGCCCTGAAAGTAAATCCTGGGTCCAGGGCGGCTTTAAACGCAGACGGTGAGAGGCCCGCGGGAGCTGGCGTGAGGACCGGCGCTCCGTGTGTGCCTGGGCTGCTCTGGGGACGGCGGCCCCAGCGCTTACCAGGTAAATGCAGATGAAGCTGCATCCTGAGAAAAAGGCCAGAAGTGCCGCAGGGGAACAGGTACAGGGACTGGAAGGGCTCAAGGTGGCTGCCTACGGCTGCCTATGGCTGGCCATGGCTGCCTACGGCTGGCTACGGCTGGCCACGGCTGGCCACGGCTGGCTATGGCTGGCTACGGCTGGCTACAGCTGGCCATGGCTGGCTATGGCTGGCTACGGCTGGCTACATCTGGCAGGGGCCAGGACTCCCCCTGGCTGTGGGGAGAAGCTTGGGAGTAGGGGCACAGGAGGAGGTCAGCGCAGTGAGCTGGGCTGTAGGGGACCCCATGTTGGGGCGGCACTGCCCTCCCTGCCAGGGTGGGGCCCTGGGTGAGGCAGCACTGGGTGCACAGTGCCACCTCGGCCCCTGGTCCTGCTGCTGCCCACGCAGTGGTGAAGTGAGCCCCGGGCACTGAGCCAGCGTGTGGCTGCTGAGGAAGCTGGGGCCTGTGGTGCATTGTGGGAAGCAGGCGGGGACCCGCCTGGCCTGGGGCCCTGGGAGCTGCTGAGGGCCAGAGGCTGAGGCACAGTGGCTGGGCTTGGATCTCAGCTGCCCACCCGCTGCTGGATGCGCCGTGCTCGCCCTGGACTGGGCGGCTCCGTCTCTCCCATGCACACCCTGGGCCACGTGGTTCAGTCACCCCATGCACACCCTGGGCTGGCGGCTCCATCAACCCCATGTGCACCCTGGGCCATGCGGCTCCATCTCTCCCATGCATACCCTGGGCCACGCGGTTCCATCTCTCCCATGCACACCCTGGGCCACGTGGCTCTGTCACCCCCATGCACACCCTGAGCTGGCGGCTCCATCAACCCCATGCGCACCCTGGGCCATGCGGCTCCATCTCTCCCATGCATACCCTGGGCCACGCGGTTCCATCTCTCCCATGCACACCCTGGGCCACATGGCTCTGTCACCCCCATGCACACCCTGAGCTGGCGGCTCCATCAACCCCATGCGCACCCTGGGCTGGCAGCTCCGTCACCCCCCTGTGCTTGCTCTGGGCTGGCAGCTCCATCTCTCCCATGTACACCCTGGGCCACGTGGCTCTGTCACCCCATGCACACCCTGGGCTGGTGGCTCTGTCAACCCCCTGTGCTCACCCTGGGCTGGTGGCTCCATCACCCCCATGCTTGCCCTGGGCCACGTGGCTCTGTCACCCTCACGTGCACTCTGGGCTGGTGGCTCCATCACCCTCATGCACACTCTGGGCTGCTGGCTCCGTCACCCCCACACACACTCTGGACTGCTGGCTCCATCACCCCCATGCTCACTCTGGGCTGGCAGCTCTGTCACCCCCATGTGCACCCTGGGCTGGTGGCTCCATCACCCCCATGCTCACCCTGGTCTAGCGGCTCCATCACCCCTACACACACTCTGGGTTGCTGGCTCTGTCACCCCCACACACACTCTGGGCTGCTGGCTCCATCACCCCCATGTGCACCCTGGGCTGGTGGCTCTGTCACCCCCATGCACACCCTGAGCTAGTGGGTCCATCACCCCCATGCACACCCTGGGCTAGTGGGTCCATCACCCCCATGCTTGCCCTGGGTTGGTGGCTCCATCACCCCCATGCTCACCCTGGGCTAGCAGCTCCATCACCCCCATGCACACTCTGGGCTGCTGGCTCCATCACCCCCATGCTCACCCTGGGCTGGTGGCTCTGTCACCCCCATGTGCACCCTGGGCTGGTGGCTCTGTCACCCCCATGCTTGCCCTGGGTTGGTGGCTCCATCACCCCCATGCACACCCTGGGCTGCTGGCTCCATCACCCCCATGCTTGCCCTGGGTTGGTGGCTCTGTCACCCCCATGCTTGCCCTGGGTTGGTGGCTCCATCACCCCCATGCACACCCTGGGCTGCTGGCTCCATCACCCCCATGCTTGCCCTGGGTTGGTGGCTCTGTCACCCCCATGCTTGCCCTGGGTTGGTGGCTCCATCACCCCCATGCACACTCTGGGCTGCTGGCTCCATCACCCCCAGGCTTGCCCTGGGCTGCTGGCTCCATCACCCCCATGTGCACCCTGGGCCACTCCTGAGCCTTGTCCACTGCTCTCTCCCCAGACCTGAAACAGTGCTGCTACCCAGAAGGTGCCCTAGAAAATGTTTATTTTAGGATGTTTTTTATATATTTTTCATTTTCTCTGAAAGGCAGAGAGAGAGAGAGAGAGAGAGAGAGAGAGAGATCTTCTGTCTGCTGGTCTGCTCCCCTGATGCCTGCAACAGCCAGGGCTGGGCCAGGCGGCTCAGGAGCTTGGACCCCACGCGGGTCTCCCACACAGTGGCAGGGTGCAGGCACCGGAGCCATCGCCTGCTGCCTCGCAGGTGCACCGGCAGGAAGCTGGTGTTGAGGTGGAGCTGGGACTCACGCCCAGGCACGCTGGTGTGGGTTGTAGCGGTCCCCTTTTTTTTTTTCTTTAAAGATTTTATTTATTTATTTGGGAGATGGAGTTACAGACAGTGAGAGAGAGAGAGAGAGAGAGAGAGAGGTCTCCCCTCTGCTGGTTCACCCCCCAAATGGCCACAATGGCTGGAACTGCACCGATCTGAAGCCAGGAGCCAGGAGCTTCTTCCAGGTCTCCCATGTGGGCACAAGGGCCCAAGGACTTGGGCCATCTTCTACTGCTTTCCCAGGCCACAGCAGAGAGCTGGACCGGGAGAGGAGCAGCCAGGACTAGAACCGGTGCCCATATGGGATGCTGGCGCCGCAGGCAGAGGATTAACCCACTGTGCCATGGCGCCGGTGCCGCAGGGGTCCCTTCTTGACTGCTGTGCCCACGCCTGCCCCAGGATGTTTGCCAAGTGCATGAGTGTTCAGTTCTGTAGGTGCCGTGGCCACCCTGTGCCTGGCGTGGGTCTGCACAGTGCCCAGCTACCGGAGAGGAGCTGCCGGCTTAACTCCCTGAGCGCTGAGCCGCTGCAGGTGCCGCCTGGCTGGGAGCTGCTGTTTCAGGCCCCTCGGCCCTGGCTAAGTGACTTCTGTTTCCCCTTCCAGAGTGGACCGGGGGCCACGCCCAGCAGGTGAGGGCCCTGGGGTGCCCCCCGGGAAGAGCTGCACTCACGGGAGAGGAGGCGCTTCCTCCAAAGAAGGTCACGCGGTACCAGGTGGCCACGAAGACCCAGGTGGCCGAGAACTCCGGGAGCTCGGGGAAGTAGCGCCGGACGTCCTCCGTGGCCCTGTGCAGTGTGGCCGGGTCCGTGGCCTCCCTGTAGTATACGTCGCCCCCTCGCCGGTTGTCCACGTCTGCCCAGAAGGCGGCCACCACGCAGCGGTCCTTGGCGATGGGGAAGGCCACGGGGGTGAACTGAGAGACCTCCTTCAGGAAGGAGATGATCCCGTTATTGTTAACCTGCTGGGCAGAAAGGCGGGTTGAGGGGCGGGCGGGGGGACCCAGGAGGCTTCTGGGAGGAGGCGGCTGACAGCATCACCAGCCAGACCCACCCAGCGCGACCCTCCCACCCCGGCCAGGGGCACAGCACCTGCGAGGCAGCCACCCTCCAACGCCAGGGTGGAGTCCAGGTGCTGTGGGGGCGAGGGAGCCACGGAGACAGAGCTCCGAAGACGAGGACCCAGACAGCCACCACGGCCACAGCGGACAGCGCCCGACATGGCACCCCCGGCCCCAGCAGTGGTTCCCAGGCCCCAGGGGGCACTGGGGGGCGGCGGTGGGAGCAGTCACTGTACCAGGGCTTCACATCTGGAGAACCCCCCACCGCCGCCGCCTTTAGGGGAGCAGGTGCCGTGTGACAGCCCAGCGACACGTTGGGAATGCACACCTCTGTCCTCTCTGCCCAAAGGCCCAGGCCAGAGCCGAGAGCTGGGCCTCAGGCGGGTCTCCAGGCGGGTGGCAGGAACCAGAAGCTGGAGTCAGGAGGGGCCGGAGGTGACCCGGGACGCGGCCTCCCAGCCGAGGCTCAGCGCTGAGCCCGACGCCTGCCCGCACCTCTCTGCTCTTAAAGGCACAGCCGGAAGTGGACAGGGAGCGCCTGTGAGCAGGCCCAGCACTCAGCACTCTCCCCACTTAGAAGCCGCAGCCACAGAGCAGACCTGCGGTGTTCGTAACCTCGGGAGCGCGAGAGGAAACCATCGAGGCTCAGACCAGCTCCAGTCCGGGAGCCCGACACAGCCCGAACGCCGAGCCGGGACCCCATGGCCTCGCCCTCACCCAACGACCAGAAGGAAGCTCTGGCGTCTAAAGTCCGGAGACTTCCACGAGGCCGCTGAGCCCCTCAGTGAGAGGCAGGTGGGAAACCCACACGCCACAGAGGCGGGCGTGGCCGTCCCCAGTGCCCCACACGGGGGCCGCTCCGCCCACTGCCAGCCTCCAGGTGACAAGAGCTGACCTCATGACCCCGGATGTGGAAGGACTTTCCTGGCTGTGACACCAAAGTCCCAGGTGACAGAGACGGATGAGCGGGACTTTGCCATGAGCGCCAGGCCGGGGCCGCGACCTGCCTGCCTCTGCCTCCGGCTCCGGCTTCCCCGTGGCCCCCACTGGGGTCCCTGCAGCTGGAGGGGCAGTGGAGACAGCCCCACGGGCCGGCTGGGTGTTCAGAAATGTCAGGAAGCCAGCACATCAGATCCCACGTCCTGGACGGCAGTGGTGGCCACGGCGGCCCAGGTGACCATCGCAACCAAGCTCACCACGGGCAGAGGGCACCAGCGGATGACAACCCTGAACTAGGAAAACACCGAAGAGGAAGCTGGGAGGCAGATAACCCAGCTCAGCACGGGGCCCCGGGAAGAGGCCTGTGAACACTGGAAGGAGAATAAGCCCCAGGGTCAGCCCCAGTGTCACAGTCCCAGTGTCAGCCCCAGTGTCAGGGCCCAGTGTCAGCCCCAGTGTCAGGGCCCAGTGTCACAGCCCCAGTGTCAGCCCCAGTGTCAGCCCCAGTGTCACAGCCCCAGTGTCAGCCCCAGTGTCACAGCCCCAGTGTCACAGCCCCAGTGTCACAGCCCCAGTGTCAGCCCCAGGGTCAGCCCCAGTGTCAGCCCAGTGTCAGCCCCAGTGTCACAGCCCCAGTGTCAGGGCCCAGTGTCAGCCCCAGTGTCACAGCCCCAGTGTCAGCCCCAGTGTCACAGCCCCAGTGTCAGCCCCAGTGTCACAGCCCCAGTGTCACAGCCCCAGTGTCAGCCCCAGTGTCAGCCCCAGTGTCAGCCCAGTGTCAGCCCCAGTATCACAGCCCCAGTGTCACAGCCCCAGTGTCACAGCCCCAGTGTCACAGCCCCAGTGTCAGCCCCAGTGTCACAGCCCCAGTGTCAGCCCAGTGTCAGCCCCAGTGTCAGCCCCAGTGTCAGCCCCAGTGTCACAGCCCCAGTGTCACAGCCCCAGTGTCAGCCCCAGTGTCAGCAAAGTGTCAGCCCCAGTATCACAGCCCCAGTGTCACAGCCTCAGTGTCAGCCCCAGTGTCAGCCCAGTGTCAGCCCCAGTGTCACAGCCCCAGTGTCAGCCCAGTGTCAGCCCCAGTGTCACAGCCCCAGTGTCAGCCCCAGTGTCAGCCCCAGTGTCACAGCCCCAGTGTCAGCCCGTCAGCCCAGTGTCAGCCCCAGTATCACAGCCCCAGTGTCACAGCCCGTGTCAGCCCCAGTGTCAGCCCAGTGTCAGCCCCAGTGTCACAGCCCCAGTGTCACAGCCCCAGTGTCAGCCCCAGTGTCAGCCCAGTGTCAGCCCCAGTGTCAGCCCCAGTGTCAGCTCCAGTGTCACAGCCCCAGTGTCACAGCCCCAGTGTCAGCCCAGTGTCAGCCCCAGTGTCACAGCCCCAGTGTCACAGCCCCAGTGTCAGCCCCAGTGTCAGCCCCAGTGTCACAGCCCCAGTGTCAGCGCCAGTGTCAGCCCCAGTGTCAGCCCCAGTGACACAGCCCCAGTGACACAGCCCCAGTGTCAGCCCCAGTGTCAGTCCCAGTGTCAGGGCCCCCTGGCATCTGAACACAAAGACCTTGGGAACAAAGCCAGGAGACTGCGAGACTTCCGTGACTCCCGGCCAGCGCTGTGGTGTAGAGGGTGAAGCTGCCACCTGCCACGCCGGCATCCCATCTGGGCGTGGGTTCAAGTCCACTTCTGATACAGCTCCCTGCTAACGGCTCAGGCACTTGGGCCCCTGTCGCCCGTGTGGGAGGCCCTGGATGGAGCTCTTGGCTTTGAATAAAGAATCTCAGGGCGCTAGCACCTCACATCCATCAGGCTGACTACTGCTGCAAACCCCAGGGCAGCCAGTGGGGGGCGGGAGTGCTTGTGCATTGTTAGCGGGAATTAAACAGTACAGCTGGGCCGGCGCTGTGGCTGCCACCTGGCATCCCATGTGGGCGCCGGTTCGAGTCCCGGCTGCTCCACTGCTGGTCCAGCTCCCTGCGGATGGCCAGGAAAAGCAGCAGAAGACGCCCCCCCAGGGAAGGCTCCCCAGGAGAACCCTCCCTGCGCAGCACCACCGGGCTCCCCCACCCGGCAGCACCGGGCAGTGAGGCCTCAGGAGGAGGTCCCCGATTCATACTAAGCAAACCCCGTGTCCTGGAGGGCGGGGGGACGCGGGAAGAACCGGACCCCGTGCCCTCCTCGGCCGCAGCCTGGGCTCAGCTCTCTGCTCTCCGCTGAGCCGCCCGCCTGGCCTGCCAGGTGCCCAGGCCCGAGCGGCTGGACTCTCATTCCGTCCGCAGAGGCGGATGCCTGGCCCAGGAAACCTGGCTGCCTGCTGACCGCTGCTCTGTCTCACGCCCGAACTCTCTCTTGTGTGGAGGCGAGGACCTGTTCCCTCCTCTCCCTCACAAAAGGCAGAGCAGGGCAGCTGTGTGGCCAGCAGACAGCCCGGCGCTCACGGCGCGGCCGGCAGATGCACAGCCCGGTGCTCACGGCGCGGCTAGCAGACGGACAGCCCAGTGCTCACGGCATGGCTAGCAGACGGACAGCCCGGTGCTCACAGCGCAGCTAGCAGACGGACAGCCCGGTGCTCACGGCATGGCTAGCAGATGGACAGCCCGGTGCTCTTGGCACAGCCAGTGATGCACAGCCCGGTGCTCACGGCGTGGCCGGCGGACACACAGCCCGGTGCTCACAGCGTGGCCGGCGGATGCACAGCCCGGTGCTCACGGCACAGCCGGTGATGCACAGCCCGGCGCTCACAGCGACAACGGCAGCTGGGCGTCAGCTTTCCGCTGCAGCAGAACCTGAGTGGCCTGGGCACAGAGGATGCCGGGCGCGTCTGCTCCAACATGACACAGGTGCACCTGTGGACACGGCGGCCGTGTGGGCGGGGTCTCGGCCTCGCTGCCATCACACGGGCAGTCAGTGTCCCACAGACGCCTCTGTAGCCACATTCAAAGCTTCAGAAAAAAAACCAGGAAATGTTCTAGAAAAATACAACTCATCAGAAGTGGCGTGGATGTCGGCATGAGTGGCAGCCTCCCGGGAGCAGGGACAAGGCCATCACAGTGGCCAGGACGCCCAGGCGCAGGCAGTGGTATGGGGTGGGGCTCTCAGGTCCCACCCGGAGATGCTGCAGCTGCCCCCCACGGAGCTCTGGTGGCAGGACAACAGCGGCAGGCCTGGGGCCCGGCCAGAAGGCAGCGGGGCACGACCGCTGAGGCTGGGGTCCCACTGCCGGCTCTGAGCACCCTGGGTTTTCATGGAGCTGTGGCAGGGGAGGCCTGTGGGGCTGGGCTGCTTGCAACCACGAAGTCAGTGCGGGGCCCTCGCCAGGGCGGGGGCCAGGTCCCTGCTCACGCCCCCCACCCTCCAGGGCCGGGGTCCTCTCTCACGTCCCCCACCCGCCAGGGCCAGGTGCTCACTCATGCCCCCCACCCACCAGGGCCAGGTCCTTACTTACGCCCCCCCACCCACCAGGGCTGGGGCCGGATCCTCGCTCACGCCCACCACCCACCAGGGCCAGGGTCCTCGCTCATGCCTCCCACCCTCCAGGGCCGGGGTTCTCGCTCATGCCCCCCACCCACCAGGGTCAGGTCCTCACTCATGCCCCCCACCCGCCAGGGCCAGGTCCTCACTCATGCCCCCCACCCACCAGGGTCAGGTCCTCACTCATGCCCCCCACCCACCAGGGCCAGGTCCTCACTCATGCCCCCCACCCACCAGGGTCAGGTCCTCACTCATGCCCCCCACCCACCAGGGCCGGGGTCCTCACTCATGCCCCCCACCCACCAGGGTCAGGTCCTCACTCATGCCCCCCACCCGCCAGGGCCAGGTCCTCACTCATGCCCCCCACCCACCAGGGTCAGGTCCTCACTCATGCCCCCCACCCACCAGGGCCGGGGTCCTCGCTCATGCCCCCCACCCACCAGGGCCGGGGTTCTCGCTCATGTCCCCCACCCACCAGGGCCAGGTTCTCGCTCATGCCCCCCACC